CCAAAAGTAATACAAAGCACCATCTGAAGTTAGTTTTGAAGGTAATTTAATCTCTCTCATCTAACCACTGATCTCACCAGCCTCTGACTCAAATGGCCATGGCCAATGGCCATTTCTCCCATACTCCCACACCTTAAGTAATGCTGGGAGGTTAGGGAAAGACCTGTCATGGTAAGGTGAGAAGGTGACAGTTCACTATCTAATCTTCTGGGAGGGAAGAAGAGTAGTAACTGGATTAAGCAGCTGGGCCATTTCTAAGAAGGGAAAAGGAAGGAATGGACCAGAATACCAAGCCCCAGGCAATATTCTCATTTCTGAGAGACACTATTCTTTGGTATAATCTCGATTACAGTCTCTTCTAGGAGGGAAGCCCTCCCTCCAAGCCCCATTGTATTTTGTTTAGACAAGAAAACATGTGATGCTGGGCTGGACTCTTTTTTCCCTTCTTAGAGCCTCCCTTACTTAATGTGAAAAATAAACAATACTCCTCTGTCCCAATTAAAGGCACCCAAGTAAACCCCTGGACAGCAAGAGAAGGACTAGAAAATTCAGTTGCTAAGGTAATTCCAGATAGTCTGGTAAAACAGAGGCCCAGACAGGAAACATCAGCTATTTTAAACCTCTCTTCAGCCAGAGGCCTGTCCCAGTGAGGAGATGACCTGAGGACAAGGACCAAGAAGGTTTTTAAACAGTCACATTCTGCCAGAAACACACTTTAAATTTTAAAAATTAAAGCACACCATTTCTTTATAGCCACTTTGGGCTAGCCTTTGAGTCATGTCAAAACCAAAACCCCAAAAAAAAAAATCCTAAGAAACTGAACCTCAAATCAATAGCCCACTTTAAGGACAAACAAAATTTGAAACATTTCCCCTGCACTCCCATTCCCTCTTGAGTAATGCAGAGGTTAGGGAAAGACTAGTCAGGCTCCCCACTTATTTGCAAAGAGCTCTAGGCTGGGGAAGACTAACTAGGATCACTTCTGAGGTTTAACAGGGCCAACAAACAGGGGAGACTGAGTTCCCAGAAAATCATCAGGTGATAGATACCACCTGCACTTCAGGTAAATGCAAGTCCCAGAAGGGAAACGCTGAGATTGCAGAAAGGCAAATTAAAATTGGGTTCACAAAGCACTTTTCTCACACAACTCACTTGGTAGGCAATATAAATAGGATTATTTCCATTTAAAGATAAGAAGTCTGAATCAAGACTTGCTCAAGGTCACTGGAACCCAGATGCTCTTCCTCCAAATTCTGGCCTCTTTTCCACCCGGCAGAGGCCCAGCCTCACTATCACCTGACCTGCAGTTTCTGAGTCAGGACCTATGATGTCATCACATTAGCCAGTCAGGGGATAAGTGTCTCCCCCAGAGAGAGGATACCATAAGATCCCCCACTGACCAAAATAACCCCTGGCCCCCCAACGCAGGCTTTCCCCTGGTCTCCACCATCTTACTTTCATTGGGCAAATCCTCTGGACCCAGGCGGTCGGATGGTGCCAGCGGGGTACTCCTGCTGTCGTCCAGAGTCAAGATGAGCGGGACGTCATCATCCATGCTCCCAGCCATGGCCTCCCCTCCTGCCAGTTTCAGGATGTGGCGCTGAGGGTTTCAAAGAGTCTCTTGCTCAGGCTCCTCTTCAAAACTGCTGCCCTACAGATGCGTCTCAAAGACTCTGCCATCAGGGGCATCTTCTGGAGTTTTACAAGAAAGAGAAAATGCAGGGCGCTCTAACAAGAATAACTCTTTCTATTTTGAGAGTGCCCCATACCAAAGAGCCCTCAACATTTCCAGACCCTTATTTCATTCTCCTTCCCCACACAGTTCTGAGGCAGATTTCATGGGGGATGGGGCCAGGTGGGAAATAGAAGCCAAAGGCCAAGGCCGAAGGGCAAATTTAACAGTAACACACCAGAACAAGAAATCTGGTCTGTGATCTCCCTCTACATTTAGACATTCCTGCCCTGTCTACACTTCCTTCTATAAAGTTAAGTAATCACATCTCCAGTGACAGGCAGCTAGTAGTACAGTGGATGGAGTGACAGAGTCTAGCTATGTGACCTTAAGCTTACCTTCTCTCTGCCTCAGTTTCCTCAATTGTAAAGTGGAGATAATAATAGCAACCACCTCCCAGGGCTGCTCAGGATCAAATGAGATAATAGTTGTAAACAGCATTCGGTACAGTGTCTGGCATGTAGTAGCAGCTACAGTAAGATGTACTCCCTCCCATTCACAAAACCCTGAGAAACATGTGGCCCTCAAGGAGATCTGAATGCAGAAATTTGCACCTGACAATTTATTCTATGGCATGTAATCTCAGAATCTTAGAGTGGCCATGCGGTCCAGCCTGACCTGGACAAGAATCCCCTCTAAAGCCTCCCTGACATGAGGTCATGAGGCCTCTCTTTGCTGAGAGACACCTCCTCAGACAGCCCATTTCCCTTTTTGGACAGCTCTCACCCTTAGGAAGTTGTTTCTTTTTACATCAAACTAGGGCTTCCCTCTCTGCAAGTTCCACATTTTACTCCTAAATTCTGCCCTCTGGGGCGAAGAAGAAGGAGCCTAATCCTTCTTCCATGATGATTCTCCCCGCTCCCCAAATACTTGAAGACAGCAAATTCTTCCACTTTAATCTAGGTCAAGTTCCTTACTAAACCTTGGGAAAAAACCCCTTGGGTCTCAAGCAACTTTCCCAACAAATCTATCCAACTGTGACCAGGCAATCCATTTTATGCAAACCCATCCACCTACCCCCAAATCAAAGCCTGGGGAGTGACAAGAAGCAGCAGGAGAGTGGAGCAATTTCTCAGGATGCAAATTTGTTGTGCACAATGGCAAAAGTGCCCATCGTGGCTACATTGCCGCCATCTTGGGGATGGAGTCTGGGTATGGGAGGGTGAGCAAAGTCAGGCTCAACTGCCTTTCCGATTGGATTAGATGGGAGGTGAAGGGCACCCCCACAAGAGATACTAATGTGACACTGACTTTATTACACTGCCATTGTTAATTTTAAGGGTGGGAAGATTTACCAAGCCTACTCAGCTAAGCTAAAAAGGAAGGTTTCCTGGAGGTCAGAGCCACTGACTGACCTCTTACTCTCTCGGACCCAAGGTGGGGGCTTGAAGGCAAGCTCTCCAAAATCAGGCCTAGATGTTTCTATGCTTACAGTGCCTAGGCTCACATGATGGCACCTTGGAGAGCACCTGCCCATTTGACTTAGAGGAGAAAGCTGAGGCCCCCAAAGAGCAGGCACTGACACAGTCCTGATCAAAGGCAGGGCACTACTGCCACTCTCCTTCATGGGAAACCTGTTGATCTCTATCCTACCATCCATGGACAAGTAGGAAGAAGGCTACTATACAGGTGGTCCAGGTGCCTGAGTGTTGGATTTAGAGTCAGAAGGCCAGGTTTGAAACCTAGCTCGGACACTTCCTGCCCCGTGACTCTAGGCAAGCCACTTCACCTCAGTTTCCCCACCTGTAAAATGGACTAGATACCCTTTAAAGTATCTTCCAGTTGAAAACCTATGTTTCCTCTGAGTGTGTGTTTCAGAAAGAGGGACAGGCTCTGTCCACTCCCATATCTGTGGGATTCCATCAACTGGCTGGAGGGGGGGGTGCTGCTGGTGGGTTAGACCAGGTGAGCCACTGAGTGGATGCTGGAAGGGAGAGGAAACTCAGTTTCGGGAAATTCCAAACAGCCTGGCTATTTAAAATCCTCCTGTTCCAGGCAAAGCCTTCCAAGTGCACACAAGGAGAAGGTGCAACTTCTCCCCAGAGCGAGGGGTAGATCTGGGAGCCACCCCCCCCTAAAAAAAAGCTAAGGGGCATTCATTATGTTTGTGTCTTGGACAAGTGAAGGAGCAAGAAGAGCATGTGAAAGAAAAGGAGAAGAGGGATGAGGTGGGATGAAGGGAGAGGTGAGGAGAAAAGAGAACAGGGTTCGAATTCTTCCTGTTCTGCTCAGAGGCTGGGGTGATCCTTGAGAAATCACTTCATTTTCCTTCGGCTTCAGTTTCCCCATCTGTATGATGGGGGTCATTGGACTATCTGGCCTGGGGACCCTTCCTGCTCTAGATCTAGGATCCTGGGAAGGGATGAAAAGATGGAAGAGGGGTGAGGAGCCCGGGGTCATCCTTGGCCCCCACGGATTCAGCCTGTCTGGCCTCCCCTTTTAGTGGATGCACCCCCCCTCCCGTGCCCTTTGACCTCCGACCCCCAACCTCTCCCTGGGTCCTTACAGGAGACGCCCCCCGCGAGCAGCGACCGCGAACCGGGCTCCGAACCGAACCTCCCGCGAGGCGCCGCCCCGAGAGTCGCGGGCCAGAGGCACGACCCGAACTCGCAGCCCCAGAGAAGGGGAACGCCGCAGCCGCCACGGAGCCAATAATCATCAGTCCGCTAGTCCACCTCCCCCCATCCAACCCCGACCCGTCGTAGCCCCGCCCCCTTTCCGAAGGCCTATTGACTGTACGGGCGGACACCGTCGCTCTCTGATTGGTCTGATGAGACGCCCTTCCCTTTTCTCCGCCCACCTCACCCACCTCTTCTCCCCTTTCTTTCTGTCCCCCCGGGAGCAAAATAAGCCTCCGCCCCCTTCCCAGTCTGCGGTGCTCTGATTGGGCTTTTCTCTTTTTCCCGCCCTCTGCATGCTCGAGGGGAAAATGATATCTAAAGATCCAAATTTCATTGGTTGGTTAGTCTACCCTTCGGAGGGGGGGGTGGCCTATCCTTTGATTGGCTCTAAGAAACGCCCTTCCATTTTCCCTGCCCTTTGCAGCTTCAAGGGGTGGCTGCCCCTCGCCTTTCATTAGTTCTTCCGGAAGCCTTGCGGGGGTTCTCATTGGAAATTCTTTGCTCTTTTCCCCGCCTCTAGCATGCTCCTCTTTGATAGTCTCCTCCCCTTCCCCGCCTCCCGCTCTCTCCGCGTGTCTTCTCTTCCCAGCCTAAGGTGCATCCGTCTCGGCTCTTTCTATTGGCTGTCGGGAGTGGGGGTCTCGAACCGTCGAACTCACGGATCTCCCTATTGGCTCGAGCCTGTAGGGTAAAGGGGCGTGGCTAACTGGAAAATGCTGAACGTTGAGTGGCGTCTGGTGAAATCAATCTGAAGCTATGGAATTCCCGCCCCGGATATGGTTGGTCTGGTTTAGTTGTTTACCCGTAGCCTAGCAACGCCGCCAAGCTGGAGACTGAGGAAGCAGTAGTTGAAGGGGAGGGAAGCCCCGAAGCTGGGAAGGCTGTAAGTGGAGGGATGATCAGGAGTCGTGTCTCGTGGTGGAGAGGACAAGGTAACAGAGAAGAAATTCTGCTCTTCAGAAGATAAAGTGGACAGGGGCGGACCTTTCGTTCTACTAAAGGTCATGTAGTCAATCCCCCTGCCTCCAGGTGGGAGTATCTGCCCAAGGTACCCCAGAGGACTAAGAGGGATCCGGTTAATGAGCTTTTCTTATGATTTCACTTCCTTGGTTATTGAATTACAGCGTCCATATCTGGAAGGGACCCCAGGGTTCATCTAATCCAATCCCCTGATTTTACAGGTGAGGAAATTGAGACCCAAACAGACAGAGCCAGGATGTGAACCCAGGATCATGTGTGAATATATGAGCTAGAAGGGGTCTTAGAGGCCATCTAGCCCAACTCCACTATACAGAAGGGGAAACTGAGGCATAAAGAGGTCTAGTCTCACAGGGCCAGTTAAAGGGCAAAAGCAGGGACTGATCTAGGAGTCTGCTGGCTCCCAGCCCCATGAACATACTCTGACCATCCATTGAATTTGATTTTGATTTGAGAGCTTTGCAATGCTGTAGACTCCAACACCACCTACTGGATCTTGCCCTGAGATCAGTCTGTCCATCAGTAAATATTCATGAAGCACCTACTATGTGCCAAGCTAGATGACTCAGTAGATAGATTACTGGGCTTGGAGTCAGGAGGACTTGAGTTCAAATCTGGCCTCAGACACTTACTAGCAGTGTGACCCTGGACAAGTCACTTAACCTCTGTTTGCCTTACTCCACCAGAGAAGGAAATGGTTGAACTTCTCCAATATCTTTGCCAAGAAAACCCCATGAATAGCATGGTCCACAGGTCACAAAGAGTTGGCCACAACTGAATGACACAATAATGTGCCAAGCTAGAGATTATGAAGAAAGGCAAAATAGAGTCTGTGCTCTCAGGGAGCTTACAGTCTAATAGGGGAGACAGAATGCAAACAACTGTGTCCAGATAATATGTATGTAGGACAAATTAGAGATCATTAACTAATAGAAGGCATTAGAATTAAGGGGTATCAGGAAGGGTGTCTTTGAGATAGAATTAAGAGCCTGATGAGAGAAAACCGAGAGAGATAAGGTTGGAGTGGAAAGGAGCCTTGGTCTGGATGTCAGCAAACCCTGGCCCTGGCCCTAATGATGTGTGACCTGGAGCAAGGCACTTGAGTTTCTGTAGGCCTCCAATTTCAACCTCTCTGCAATGATGGCATTAGACTAGGTCCTTCGAGCTGTGAACTTGGAGCAAGCTCTGAGGTCAGAATTGCAGTCTTGAGACTGGAGGGAACCGAAGGGCCCATAGTTGAACAAAAACCCTTTCTACCCATGACTAACAAGGGGTCATCTAGCCTTAGCTTCAAGACCTCCGGTGAGGGGGTGCCCACCATCTTCTGAGGCAGCCCATCACATTTTAGGAGACCTTTCATTGTTAGGAAAATTTCTCCTGGTCTTGAACCTAAATCTCTTTTCAACCTGCATCCATTGCTGCTAGCTCTGTCCTCCAGGGACAAGCAGAAACAAATCTAATAACTCTTCAAATAACTGAAAACTGCTATCATGTCGTCCCATTCTGCTCCCCACCCCAGTGATCTCTTATCTAGGCTAAATACTCCCAGTTCCTTCAACCAATCGCTATATGGCATGATCTTCAAGCCTTTTACCCTCCAGGTTGCCCTTCTCTGAACACTCTTGTTCATATGTTCGTATTCAGTCATTTCAGTCACGTCCCCTCTCCATGACCCTGTTGGAGTTGTCTTGGCAGAGATCCATTCCAGGATCTCTGGAATAGTGTGTCATTTCCTTCTCCAGCTCATTTTACAGATGAGGAAATTGAGGCAAGCTGGGGAAGTGACTCGCCCAGGGTCACACAGCTATTAAGTGTCTTAGGCTGGATTTGAACTCAGGAAGAGTCTTCCTGACTCTAGGACCTGGACTCTGTGTGGTATGGCGCCACCTAGCTGCCCCTGAACACTTTACAATTTATCAGTATCTTAAAATGCGGTGCTAAGAAATAGATAGATTTGCTCTGACCAGAGGAAATTAAAGAGGGACTATCGCCTCCTTATTCCTTGAAGTCAAACCTCTCTTAACACAGCCTGAAATCAAGTTAGCTCTTTTGGCTGCCATCTTCAAGAGTGTGCTAGAACCAGTTCTAACCAGCTGAATTTTCAACATCAGCATTCACACCTCAGAAATTAGGCAATTGATGCAAATCAGGGCCTGACTTGTCATTTGGTTGATTGTCTAGGCTTAAGAATTGTTAATAATGTATATTAATCTGAAAAATATGTGTGCATACTCCCCCCCATTCCAGATCCCAGTTGTTAAACATTTACCAGCACACTCCTTCACATCGTCCTCTTGCCTCATGTTGTACATTGAAGACACCAGTAACCCCAGAGCCTTTAAAAATAAACTGCTGATTAGATATAGTATTGCCACCATATTGTCCTTTTTTTTTTTTGTTAGGCAATGGGGTTAAGTGACAAACTTGCCCAGGGTCACACAGCTACTAAGTGTTATGTGTCTGAGGTCAGATTTCAACTCAGGTCCTCCTGAATCCAGGGCTGGTGCTGTATGCACTGTGCCGCCTAGCTGCCCCTCATATTGTACTTCTGAAGATTATTTTTCAACCCAATTGTAAGTCTTTATCCTTGTTGATTTTCATCTTTTCGATTCAGCCAAATGACCTGGCCTTTTAAGATCTTTTTAAATGTTGACCTCATTTAATGCATTAGTTCTCTCTCCTAGCTTCGTATCATCTATAAGCTAGATAAGTGTGCCATCTATATGCCTTTGCTGTGATTACTGATGACACTGTTAGACAGTGCTAAGCTAAGCACTGATCCTTATGGTACTCTACTAGAGACCTCTTTTAACATGGCCATTGAACCACTGAAACCGAGTTAACCTATTTTGAATCCACTTAATTGCTCTGTCATCTAGCTGCATCGCTCCATCTTTTCCACAAGAATAGCATGACTTTAATTAGGTGCTTTGTTAAAATCTCTGTCAACTAAATTACCGGTCTAATAATGCCATAATTTTTTAAAAATTAATCCAACATTAACTGGTCTTGATGAATCCATACTGGCTCTTCATGGTTACTGCTTTTCTTTTTCTAGGTATTTATTAGTTGTTGTTCGATTGTTTCAACCATATTTGAATTTTTGTGAACCTATTTGGGGTTTTCACGGCAAAGATCCTGGAGTGGCTTGCCATTTCCTTCTCCAGCTCATTTTACAGATGAGGAAACTGAGGCAAACAGGGTGAAGTGACTTGCCCAGGGTCACACAGCTAGTAAGTGTCTGAGGCTAAATTTGAATTCACAAAGATGAGTCTTGCTGACTTCAGGCCCAGCACTCTATTCGATGTGCCACCTAGCTGCCCCCAGGTATTTATTAACCATCCCCTTAATAATAAGTCCTAGAATTTTGTGGGGAATCAAAGTCAAACTACTGGCCTACACTTGGCAAAGTCCATTCTCTTCCCTTTCAGAAAACTTTTGGTGGCATTTTTTCCAACTCTAATCCTTCAGTACCTCCCCTGTTCTCCAAGAACTTTCCAAGATTGCTAACAGTCACCCAACAGTCATATACACTAGTGCTTCAGGTACCCAAGGACAGTTCCTTTGGCCAGATGACTTGGAGATATAGAGGACAACTAGGTAGACTCTCACTATCCCTCTATTCATCTTGGATTTTAATGCCCTATTTGCCATTTTTCTCCTGCCCTTCCCAGATCAAAGATCATTGCCCTTGGCAGAGAAGACAGAAGCAATATAAGATTTAAACAAGTCACCTATTTCTTATTTGTCAGCTAGAATTTTAGATCTGTCCTCTGAACCCTTTGAAATCTGCCTTCCCCTTGAATCTGTTAGACTATTCCTTTTCTTTTCTTTCTGCTCTCCTTTTCTACTCTATTATAAACTTTTAAGGTGGAATGGCCCCTTCCACCCAAGGTGCCCATCACTTCCATCCTATTATACTTCCATGTTGGTAAGAACCAGATCTAGAATAGAATTTTCCTTTGTTCTCTGCCCTCGCCTCTTTTGGCTAATGAAATGATCACAAATGCAGGTCAGATGTTTAGGTGTGCCGCTTTCAGTGATTAGAGACTCTAGGAGATTTGTGGATAACTGAAGCCTCACATCACTCACACATGTGAGCCAGGCATGGAAGGTGTTTCCCACACTCCTCATCTGTTTCTATTTTCTGGCCAGGTGATGTCTAAGCATCCTCTGATGATAGAATCACTTCTTATTCCACCTCTTCTGCTCCTGACCAGATGCCCTCCTCCATTATATGCACCCACTCTGGCTCCTGGATGAACTTACATAAGTATATCTTCTTCACACACAATGATACAGACTTGCAGTTCTGGCTTTGGGTTCTTGCCCTGTTGACTGTCTATAAGAAAAGAGAGGACAGGAAGGGCGTCATAGGAAGAGCCTTGGACTGGGGATTGGTGGACCTGGGTCCTAGTCCTGTCTCTGACACCAATTCTCTGTGTGATGTTGGGCTGATCACTTCTTTTATGCAGCTTCAGATTTTGTTCTTTATACAATAGACAGATGAGACCAGATGGTCTACAGGGACCTGCCCAGCTCTGACTTTTTATGATCTAAAGTAATCTTCTATCCCTGACAATCCACATTCTAAGGTTTGTTCTGGCTCTGGCATCTTTATTTATATGTTTATAAAATGAATATATTTATATTATTTATCTCTACCCGACTGTCTCGGACATTCTATGTTCTAAGGTCTTTCCAGCTCTCATGTTCTGTGCTCTAAAGATCATCCCTGTTATTCTTTGTGTTCTGTGTTCTAAGGTTCTAGAACATAGAATTCTTTTAAAATAGTATTTTGTGTTTTCCAATTACATGTATTTTTAAATTTAATTTAATTTTGCTTTTTGGGGTTTTTTTTTTGGTGAGGCACTTGAGGTTAAGTGACTTGCCCAGGGTCACATAGCTAGTAAGTGTCAAGTGTCTGAGGCTGGATTTGAATTCAGGTCCTCCTGACTCCAAGGCTGGAGCTCTGTCCACTGCGCCACCCAGTAGCCCTCTAATGACACGTAAAGACAAATTTTAACCTTCATTTTTAAAAAGATTTTGAGTAGAACACAGAATCCCAAGAACATAGAATACCACATTCTAAGATGCTCTTCCAGCCACAGCATTTTTATGGCTGACTGAGAGGGTCCAGCACATGGCATCAGAAGATATGGTTTCTATGCCTGGCACCCTGTGTGTTGGATGGTGACCAAGATGCTGACATTTAATTTTTAATTTAATTTTTTTTCCCCTTTCTATAGCAGGACATCATCTTTCTGGGGTATGTATTTTAACTTTCTTTGACAAGCATTCAAAAGGTGAGCCTAGGAAAAGAAAATGGGAAAAATGAGAATGCAAGGTAACACCAAAATATAAATGATTGTAAAGGATGGAACGTGCCTCTGTAAAACTTCTTTCTTTCACCCTAATTTTCTGTTAACCCTAATTTCAAACACGTATATGGTGATTTTAACCCAGTAGCATCCTTGTTTTTTACCACCCTTTTCTGTGTACCAAACAAGATCATAGGAGCCTTGATCTACAGCTGAAAAGACCTTTGGGGTCATCCAGTCCAACCCTCTCATCTTACCAGTGAGGAAACTGAGGCCTAGCCAAATGATGTGACTTGCCCAAGGTCACTCAGGTAGTAAGCATCAGCGGCATAATTGGAACCCAAAGCTTCTGACTCCAGAGCTAGCCTTGTTTCCGCTCTTGTGTGCTATGTCCTTGTCTCCACTAAATACTCCCTCCTTGGTCAGAAGTGGACTAATATTACCAATTAACTTAGGCTTCTCTAGCCCATAAAGAAAATCAATCAGTCAGTCAGTAGACATGTATTAAGCCTTGCTATAAATCAGGCTCTGGGCTAAACTCTGGGAATACAGCCAGAAGGAGAAAGACAAATATTCCCTCCCTTTAAGGAGCTTCCATTCTTGTAGGGGATAAGGGAGCTGGGGGTGGGGGTGGGGTTACAGAAGGAACCGAGCCTAGGGCCTGGTAAAGAAGGTTGAGATGGAGCTGAGTCAGCAGGACAGCCAGGAGAAGGAGGAACCCATCTTTGGCTTGGGCCTTCTCCTTTAGTTGGGAGGCCTGGGAGGGACCAGCCAATCAGAAGGTGAGGCCTCAGGGGTGAAGGGTTCTTCCAGTGTGAGAAGTAGCCCGGGGTGCAGTGAGCTTCCAGGGTGAAGAGATTCTATGGCATGGGAGAAAAAGTCCTGTGGAGTCCTGGGCTGTGCAGCCTAGAGAGGGATGAAATCACAGTTCTGGTTAGAGGCAAGATGAAAAAGATTTCTTTCGTCATATGTAACAGAATTCGTCCCCTACACGAATCCTTTGCTTCAGCCATATGGGACTCTTCACTGTTTCTCCAGATGTCCCATGTACTACCCTCAGTTCAAGGAACAAATTATGCACCAGGTTGAAAATAGATCAGTTGAAGGAAGTGCAGTCTACAAATTTGCCTATACGTTTATCAGCTGAACTAGAATTACAACATAGGACTGTTGACTTCTGGGCTTCCCTGGGGTGAGAGGACTGGAGTTTGTAGGAAACTTCAGGGAAAGACCTAGAGTGACATTGAATGCTAGAAGTCAAGAGTCCTGGCCTTGCCGCCAACTTGCCATGAAAGCTTACCCCCTCTGAGCCTCATTTTCCCTCATCTGATAAACAAAGTTGGATTAGACAGTTTCTAAACACTGTCCCAGCTCTGACATTTCCTGTTCTAAGGCCCCTCCCAGCTCTGACATTCCCTGTTCCAAAGGCAGAGATGTCAAACATAAGCAGGCCACTTGAAGTTCACAAAACTCCAAGGCACGTCCTGAACCAGATTAACATGTACTTGGGAAATATTTAACAAAATAAATAAAAATACAGTAAAACATGGATAATGTTAATATGTAGTTTTCTAAGTCAATATGTGCCTGCAAGGATCCTTAGGTACAGTTTAGTGACCCTATTTCTATTTGAATTTGACCCCCTGCTCTAAGGTTTCTGCCAATTCTGCTGTTCTAGGCAGATCCTTGAGGGGACACCACATGGTTTGTTATTTTGTTTAAGTATGTGGCAAGGGTGCCCTCTGGAGTCAGAGGACCCAGGTTCAAATCATGTCTCTATCATTTAATACCTTTTGCGATCTTAGATGAGCCACATCACGTCCTTGGACCCCACAACGTTCTCCTCTATAAAATAAAGATTTCTGGGGTGGACAGCCCCCGAGGTCCTTTCCAGCTCCATCTGTGACTTCCTTGCCTCATCGTTGCTTTGACCTTGGACGTGGCCCCGGATGAACAAAATCCTGTTTGTCCACCGAGCTTTCATGCCCTCTGGAAAGCCTTCCCTCACCCCTCCTTTCCACATTGATCTCACCTGGAGCCCCTAATGTGTGTACTGCCCCTGCGCATTTAATCAGCTCCCCACCTCCAGCGTCAGCCTTGGAGCTCTCTGGCCTGGTTTGGGTTGGTTTTTTCCTTTTGTATTCCACACTAGCACCCACTGCAGTGCTGGGCATATAGTGGGGGTTCAATAAATGCTTGTTGACTGAAAGAAGGAAGAAAAGGAGCTAACATTACAGTGTCCGGTGAGTTCCCCAAAAGTTATGTATAAGTTAAATGTTTGGTAAAGCCTATCATCTTGAGAGAATTGGCTATTTGTAGGTATTTTGCCTTGATTCCTTTCTTAAAGCAAGGAATGTTCTGGAAACATCAGGCAGCATGACCTCTTTTTTTTGTTTTTGTAAGTTACAATTTTTGTATGACCATTTATTTAAAGAGACATACACCTATATACATATTTATGTATGTAAGTATTTATGTGTACAGGTAAAAATTCAAATGCTTACATGTATGCCTCTGTGCATCTTATATATGTATGTGTATGTGTATATGTGTATATGTACATACACACATATACAGCTGTTGTTCAATTGTTTTCAGTCATGTCCAGCTCTTCGTGACCCTATTTGGGGTTTTCTTGGCAAAGATACTGGAGTGGTTTGCTGTTTCCTTTTCCAGCTCATTTTACAGATGAGGAAACTGAGGCAAACAGGGTGAAGTGACTTGCCCAGAGTCACCTAGCTAGTAAGTGTCTGAGGCCGAATTTGAACTCAGGGCTTCCTGACTCCAGGCCTCGGACTCTATCCACTGTACCATATAGCTGCCCATGTACCTATTTATAGGTAACAATTCAGATGCTTTTAATTAATCATAAGCTGTTGATTTCTGATGGCTACCATAGCCTTTCCAAAACAATATTAAAAATTGCTTCAAAGTCATCCATCACACAGATAATCTTTTTATTAAAATCAAGGGAAACAGACCAGGCCCTTCTATTCCAGCTCCCAAGGTGTACCCCAGTGCTGGGCAGCAGCAGCTCCCCAGCCCTCTGGAGGCTCTGGCAGGGCCAACTGGTGTTTTCCCTTAAGGACTCAAAAGTAAGATTTGCACGTGGCTGAAGAACCCTGAGTCTTGGGTCATGGCTTATAGTTGTTGCAATACTGGCCAAACCTTTAGGATATCTCTCTGCTTACTTTCCTTCTTCCTGTTTTCAGAGTCCATGGAGTTGGGGTGGAGACTCTGTCTAACCTGCAAAGCCTTCAGGTAAAGGATGAGACCCAAGTGCTCCTGAAACCAAGGTCAGTTATAGGAAAAAGGTCCCTGCGTCCAGCGTGGCTATGGAAGTGCTTGTGGCCCCCCTCTACCAGGGCTCAGAGATAAGCACCAGTAACAGGCTGAGGCTGGCCATAGGCCCAGCTTCCAAAAAAGCCTTGTTATCATGCATGACCACCAACCAGATGGACCCTGCTCGGACCAAACTCACCACCACTGAGGCCAAGAGGATTGTCTTCGTCCTGGATGAAACCATTCGAAAGGTGGAGATGGTCACCCTGCTGTCGGCCGCTGCTTACAGCCCAGAGAGTTTGGAGGGGCTGTGGGAAGACGACCTCATCAAAGCTGTCCGGGACCATGAGGATTTCTGCAACACCCTCCTGGAGCTGGATAACCTGGTGAAAGAAGAGGAGGTGCAGCTGGCAGAGTCAGGGGACCACGGTCAGCAGCTTCTCATTGAAGAGCACAAGCACAGCCTCACGCTCCTCAAAGAGGAGGTGAAAGGCTCTGCCCGCAACACGCTGAGAATCTTCCTGCTCAACCTGCCGGCCGGGGAAATCCTTCGCACCCAGGTCGTGGGGAGAAGTGAAGAGGCCAGCGTTTTTCTCCAAGGTCTGACTGAATTCAGAGGCTTTGTGTTCGAGAAGCTCCTCACCAGCCCCATGGAGGAGAAGGAAAGGGCTGAGTTCCTGGACGAAATCAACCTCCGGGAAAAGAAGAACAACCAGTTGATTCAGGATCTTGAGGCAGAGCTGAGCGCCACCCTCAAAGCCAGGGATTCTGAGGTAGGCGTGATACGGCCTGAGCACCTGTGGCTGTGACCCATGGCCAGGCTCCCTGCGTGGCTCCGGAACACACTTTGTTGATGTAAAACCCTCTGGAAACGTAAGCAGGGAGGGTGGCTGATGGTGGCTGATGGTGCCGGTGTCGGGGCGAGGCTTATGGGTTGGATTCGCCTCTTAGTACGAGGCTGGCAGCTCCAACCAGCCACAGCATCTGCTCTATTCAGATCGGCACTTTAATTCTGAACGATAGGCTTTTAATAAGCATTGATAAGATGCTAAACAATGTTCAAAATTCCCCAAATTTAACCATAGCTCGCGGTTTGCAGTAGACCGATGGGGAGGGCAGAGCTCTCACAGAAAGGGATGGTAGAATTTAATTCATTTAATTTCCTCATGCTTCGTTCACCCTTGATCAAACGCCTCTGCCATCTGGGTAACACCACCCCATGGCGTGTGGTGGCTTTCAATGGGGAGTCTTCTGGCCTCCCTCGTGGAGGGGCTGATTTCCAGGCCACTTTGCCAGGGCCACCGCCCTTGGCTGATGGCACCTTCTCTCCTTTCCCTGGTCCAGATGGAGAAGGAGAACCTTGTGATCCAGGAACTGAAAAGCCACCTGCACCAGGTGCTCAAATTCTCAGAGAATCACCTGCTACGCACCAAGCAGGAGGCGGAGAAGCAGCAGAAGGCTGAGCTGCAGGCCTCCCAGGGCCGGATCGCCAAGATCCAGCAGGACATCCTCAGGCTCAGGACCCAGTACCATAACATTGTGGAGGAGAACCGGGACAGTGAACAGGCACTCAGAAAGGTAGAGGCTGGAGGAGGGAGGATGGCAGCAGCGGGGCACCTCCAGACACACAGACACAGACACAGACACACGCACACATATACATCCACAAGGCACCTCTAGACACACAGGCACACACACACACACACAGCACTGGCAATTGCCACATGGGAACAACTCCCACCGAGGTAGGACATTTCCACAGGTCGGGGCTGCCCCATCATGTCTGGGAAGAACTTAGCTCTGGTAAGAAACTTAGTTGCAGGACTCTGACTGTAGCAAGGATTAGGGAAAGAGGACCATGACATACAAGATACAGGCCATCCACGGAATGGCACCGATGTTTGCCTGTTGTGGCCCACGGACTCTGTAGAACTTGAGGGTCTTTCTTCTCTCCTGTGGCTACAAAGGCCGTTTTTTCCTGTGGCACTCCCTTTAGCACAGTCACTTCCGTGGCCACACGCCATAATTTGAGGCTCAGAGCAGGCTTTCAGACTTTATCAGAAATCAGAACCCAGATTTTTGTCTCGGCCCACTTAATGGAGCCTTTTTTTCACACAGCATCTATCTAGGACTTCGAGGCTCGTGAAAGGTGGCATGTTTATCTTTACAGCATGCCTGTGAAGAATGAGGGAGATAATTTCTTAGAAAAGTAAAACAAAGGCCCTGGGAGACAGAAGGCGGCCCATCCAAGGTGGCAAATCGAGAGAAGCGCTCAGGCTTTGTACTCTAGTAGGTGCCCAGTGAACGCAACCAGGGCTCCTGATCTGTTAAGTCATTTCTGGCTTTTTTTTTCCTGTTTTTCAGAAGAAATATAAACTGGAGACAGAAATAGAGAACTGGATCCAGAAATATGATACTGAGATGGGAGAAAAGCAGGTAGGGGTCCCTGACATAAAGCTTCTCTCCTTTTCTTTCCCTAGAATTATTCCAAAGGTTCCAGATTATTTACCTTATTCTTTAGGCCAGGCCTCAGTCATTCAGTTATGAAGGAAACTCACAAGTTGGGAGGGAACAGGAGACAATGGAAAAGCCACCAACGGGGAATCTGGAGAACTCGGTTCAAGTCCTGGCTCTTGACGTTTAAGAGCTGTGTGACCTTGGGCAGGTCTTGTTGGATGGGTTCCATGCTCAAGGCAGGGCTGTTTGTAGCTAAGCCTTTCAGGTCCTTGCTTCCTTTGCTACTGTCAGGGCCCTGGGAGATCAAGTGGAGGGGAGGGCCATGGAAACAGTCCTCTCCAGGCCCTCATCACTACCTGTTAATGTGAGGTTGGCTCCAGCTGATGTTCAGACCCTGTTCAGTCACCTCCATCACCTGCTGCTGCCCTGGGGAGGAAAGGGCAGAGCAGGGCAGGATGGGCAAGGCGGGTGTCAACACCATTGCTGAGAAGGGCAGGGCTGAAAATGAGCTCCGAGACCATTTGGCCCAGTCTCTACCTGGGCAGTAATCCTCTACAGTGTCCCCAGGTGGGGTCATCCAGGCCCAACCCCCAGATCCCCAGCGGGAAAGGCAGGGAAAGTAGCCACTGGCCTCCAACGACAGCCCCTGTGGGTCAGCTCTTGTTATCAGGGGCTCTATCTCAGCATTCAGAGGAAATTTTGCCAGTTGGAGCCACTGTTCTCAGTCTTGCCCAATAAGCCTGATCACCCTTCCTTTGAGCTCTTGGGTTCCCCCAGGCTGGCTTTCTTTCTTTCTTTCTTTCTTTCTTTCTTTCTTTCTTTCTTTCTTCCTTCCTTCCTTCCTTTCTCTCTTTCTCTCTCTCTCTCTCTCTCTCTCTCTCTCTCTCTCTCTCTCTCTCTCTCTCTCTCTCTCTCTCTCTCTCTCTTTCTCTCTTTCTTTCTTTCTTTCTTTCCTTCTTTTTTCTTTCTATTTTTTTTGGTGAGGCAGTTGGGAGTTAAATGACTTGCCCAGAGTCACACAGCTAGTGAATGTTATGTGTCTGAGGGGCTTTTCTTCTCCAGGCCAAATATTCCCAGCTCCTTCCACTAATCCTTACGGTGCCCTCATTCAACACTCAGCAAACAGTTAAGTGCCTGCCGTGTTTGAGAGGCGGGGTCCAGTGGGCATACTCCCTCTAGGGGTGCAGATAAAGACCCACCCTCCCCTTCTTATCCCATGCCACTCTTGTCCATGTCTTCTCATCGATCCTCCACCCAACATCCTGAGGGCCTTCCTCTCGGCCTCTTGACAGTGCGTGGATAGTCACGGAGCCCGCAGGCATACCTCACTCAGTCCCGGCTCCTCTTGTGGCCACGTGTCTCAGACATTCTCGAGGCTGCCCTAGCACAGCTCTTCTGAGGTGATCGGCTCCCGGCCCATTTACACCCACCATGGACCACTCTTTTATCTCTTGCAACTCTAATTTTGGGGAGGTGGTGGTGATATGCCATAACTCCAAAGATTAACACCATCACCCAAAAAATACTGATACTGAGGACACGGGCCTCTGTGTCAGAGAGAAGCTTCTTTGGTCATTGAGAGCTCTGGGCAATCTGACTGGCTTCTCTCCCTATTCAGTTATGGGCCCAATTCAGTCTGCCAAAGATGGGGGTCCTGAGGGAGCGGCTGTCAGCTCTTCATGCATCTGTGTGTCATGGTCTAGAGAGTGCACTTTTTCATTCATTTGGCTTTCCCCCAGTGGGCAGTTAGGCTGTCTTTTAGGAGACTGGGCAGAGGTAGAGGGTTTGATTTAATCGGCACAATTCAGACTGCAAGGAAGGGAAAAGAGGCCCTCACCATCTACACGGTATTACTTGTCAGTTTGGACTGCCTCCCTCCTGCCTGCACCCCTGCCCAGGTCTCCACAGTCCTCAAGAAACCCTCACTTGATCCATCCATCCCTGCTAACTATCACCCTATTTCTCGCCACTCTTTTGTGGCCGAGACCACCTGCAACAGGTGCCCCACTTCCCCTCTTCTATCTCTGAACTGCCTATGAATTCCACCCTCAATGTTCAACGGAAACTGCTCTCTCCAGTTACCAGTGATCTCTCTCTCTCTCTCTCCTCTCTCTCTCTCTCTCTCTCTCTCTCTCTCTCTCCTCTCTCTCTCTCTCTCTCTCTCTCTCTCTCTCTCTCTCTCTTTTTTTAGGCAATTGGGGTTTAAGTGGGATTAAGCCCAGGGTCACATAGCTAGTTTCAAGTGTTTGGTCTGAGGCTGGATTTGAACGCAAGTCCTCCTGACTTCAGGGCCGGTGCTCTAGCTCCTCTCTCAGAGGCAATTGGGGTGAAGTGACTTGCCCAGGGTCATACAGCTAGTAAGTGTTAGGCACCTGCATTTGCCCAAGCTGGGGGTCTTGCAGTGGTAACTGCATTACAGGAGGGATGCAGCCAGATCCCTCCTGTTATCCACATGAGAAAGATCTGCCAGATGACCCCAAACTACCTGGTTCCCTTTAGACTGAATATGAAGAGCTAGACGAGATCTATACTGAGGAGAAGGCTCAGCTGGCAGAGCTGAAGGAAAAACACGCAGTCCTGGTCCAGGAGTTTGTACAGATCAGGGACGAGAGACTCATCAACTCCAAGAAGCAGCTGGAGGCCGAGAAGGAGATGGCCCTCATGATGCGGGCGGCCACCCTCATCCAGGCTTTCTGGAGGGGCTACTTGGTCAGGTCACTGCTGAAGTCCAAGCGGAAGAAGAAGAAGAAAGGCAGGGGCCGAAAGAAGAAATAAGTCCCTCCTCCACCGGCACCACTCCCCAGCTTGTTCTTCCTGTCCCACCCACACTGGCACCAAGTAGGTTTGACCAGATTTACACAGAGGAGGTCGAATCCTGCGTGTGCTTCTTCCTGCTCTGGACCAAGCTTTGGGTGTGTGCACACATGTCCCCAGGCGGTGAGAGGAGTATGCAGGCCGCTGTGAGCCCTGTAGATCCCTCGCACATTCTGCTGACCAGTGACCACCGGGAGCCTGTGGACACCAAATACAATGTCCACTTTGAGGCCTTCCCTTTCTGTACTGATACCAACAAAGTCCCTTCTCCTTGACCCCACCCTGGGCATCTTTTCCCCCTTGCTGCCTTAAGGAGCAGTGGGTCCACACCTCCTAGAGAGGCCCAAACTCACCTCTCCCCAGCCCTGACTCCTCTTTGAAGAGTTGGTACGAGATTTCTCCTGCTCCACCACCCTGTCCTAACACAGCAGCAGTGATCCCAAACCTCTGAAAGCTCATAAGAGCCCCAGAAGAGGGCTGGGCCAAATTCGCTCAGGCCTGGCTGCTCATGGAAAAAAGGGGACAATCCAGGTAGGGCAGACACACTATGTACGTGCTTCAAAGCACACACGGACACATCTTCCACTGAAGCCCCAGGGTGAGGCCTCATCATAGCATGGAAGAGACCATGTGTGTCGGGGGGGGGGGGTGAAGACATACAAGGCCCAGCTGGTCCCACAAGCCCATAGGGCCTGGCTGGATGCCGTGTCCATTCTCCCAAGACGAGCCCTGCTAAGTTCACAGAGCCTCTTCCCTGGGGCTTGAATTTCTTTTCCAGCTACAATTCACAGCTGACTCTGAGGTCTCTTCCAAGAAGTCCAGTGTTCTGTACACTTCACTAAGACAGGGGTTGACCTGAACTTGGTTTTAATTGCCAACTGTATTTCAATAAAATTGGTTTCCTCTATAATCCTATGTATGTCATTTAATGCATTTAACCATTTTATGCTGAGAAAAGATCCATGGGCTTCACTAGACTGTCAGGGGGATCCAGGGTGCACAAAAGGTTATGAACGCCCTATGTCAGGCATAGAAGAGTTCTACTGTGCAGCTGTGGAAAGAGTATCCATGCCAACAAAATAGCCTCAAAATTCATCTACACATATATATTTTAACACTTTAAGGGCCTTGAAGAAACACCCCCAACTAACACATATTGCAACCTCCTTGTTTTTCTTAGTAGGAAGGGCCTCATCACAGGCCCAGGGCCTCTCTGGACTTCATTGGCCCCATCCTCAGCACAGCCCAGGCCAGCCCTCGGGGCATGGCATAGAAAGCATTCTCTTCCCAGGATCAGCCGGCCAAAATGGCTAACAACCTCCCTTCCCACTCTTAACACTATTGTCATGATTCCGGCTGAGGTAGAACCGGGGGCCCTTCTAGCACACCATCTAGCACCCCCCTCCTTGCCTTGTTGAGGCCTGTGTGTGTAGGCCAGTGACATCCAAGGCTTAGGAGAAACCTTCTCTCTGAGGACTTCATGGCCTCAAGTGGGCATGAATGCCTCCGTGCCCCAGAAGCTTTGGTGGGAAGTCACCCCTCGTCTTGCTGTAACCCAGACAGAGGTAGGAACGAATTCTGCAGAAACACTACAAGGAGGGAGAGAAGACCCATGGCTTGGCAACAGTAGAGTTTATTGGTGGCATGGTGACCTCCTCCAGCTATGGACAAGGGAACAAGAGAGAAGGACAGAGTCTGCACATTGACCCTCCTAGAGCAGATGGTGTGTGTGCGCATGAATAAGTCAAGGCTGTTCTCGAGGACTGGGCATCTCCCCACTCTCATGAAACTGGGATAAGATTAAAGCCTGGCACAAGCCCGTGCCCCTGTCCCAGTCTACGCCCCCAGGCCTGACACTGAGGCAAGAGTCCCAGGTCACTTCCAGGGCGGCTTTGGCTTGGGGGTGGCCACATACTTCCGGGGAGTAGCTGGTTCTGAGAGGCTGATGGAATGAGCCCTGGGGGTCACCAGTGGGCTCCTGAAGGTCACTGCAGCTGTCTGAGCCCAAGCCTGCCGCTGCCCCCTCTGGTGGGGGGGACTGGTGGCAAGGGAGTGCCCCCCAGGGGAGGCATTCAGGTGGGTGAGTGAGCGGGAACACCCCTTCTTGAGGGAGCCTGGGGAGTCCAACCCCCCCAAGGGCCTCTGCCAAATGTCTGACTTGCTCCTGCTCTTTGGCTCAGAGGAAGCCACAGGGTGAATGGCCCGCAGTGGGGTCTCCTTGGGACGGGGTGAGCGACTAGCCCAGGGTGCCGATGGTGGGCTCCAAAGGAGGGGCCGGAGCTTTGCAGCATCCTCCTTCTTCATCCATGGTGCCTCCCAGGTGGGTCCCTCCTCTCGTGAGCCAAAGAGAGTCTCATCACAGTAGGACGGTGTGCGACGGATGGGCCTGGTACAGGGAAGGATGGACAATGAACAGTGAGGGGGGCACAACGGGGGCATGGATCCCAACCCAGGCCTCTTCTACAACATGTCCTGTTGGATAAAGTCAGCAAGCAAGCGGCTACTGGAAATGGAGTCTGCATCCAGATCAGAGAGGAAGAGAGGTGGGATGCTCACTCCCAGCCTGGCACCCTGGCTAAGGATGGCGCCTTCTCATAGACTAGGGCCTTCTAACTCACGGTCCTGACCCCAAGAATCCCAGGATCCCAGATCTGGAGCCGGAGGGGACCCCAGGGTCCCCCACCAACTCCAACCGTCTCATTTTATAGATGAGCAAACGGAGGCTCGAGGAATTGGGGTCACAAAGGTAATGAGCCCATGAGATGTAGGGTCTGAACCAGGGCTCCAGAGCTGGCCACTCTCCCATTGTGGCTAAGGATGTCGTGAATGGCTCCCTGAATCACAACATCTTAGATGTGGAGGGTCAGCATAGCTACCTTTGGAGTCAGGAGTTCAAACGTGACCTCTGAAACTCACGGGCACATTCAACATTGCAGGGCCTCAGTTTCCTCATCTGTAAAATGGAGATGATCATAACACCTACCACAATCACTACTGAGCTACATGCCTGGCACTGGGCTAAGTGCTGCGCTGTTGTGGGTATCAAGTGGGACAGTGTCTGCCAAGAGCTTCTCAAGCCTTTCGTTTTTCATTGGGAGGCAATCAGAGCGAAGTGACTTGCCCAGGGTCACACAGCCAGTAATTGTCTGAGGTTGGATTTGAACTCGGATCCTTCTGACTCCACTGTACCCCCTAGCCGCCCCCTTCCCAAGCCTTAAAGCACCTTATTAGCAATTTTTATTTACCCTTCTGTATCTGTTAGATGGTTATCTGGGCTCAGCTGACATTCTTCCAGATCAGGGAAAGCTGAGAGAGACAAGCCCGCCTACTTCTGGGCACTTCTAGATTCTGGGAAACTCTTCCTTACAGTGGACACATTTCGTGGTCCTAATGATGTCCCCTGGAACTACACGCCACACAACATAAGCCAAGGGGCAGGTATTAAGCACCTGCTGTGTGCAAGTCACTGTGCTGAGCTCTGGGAATACCAAGAAAGGCAAAAACCAGTCCTTGCCCTCAAGGAGCTCACAGTCCAACGGGGGGAGAGCACAAGCAAATGGCTCTAAACAAGATACAATGGGAGAACGCTCTCCTCCACCTGACAGCCCTTGAGAAGGCGTAAAGAGCCGGATGTGCCTCTCAAAAATCAGCTTTGCTAAGAGTTCCACATTACCATGACACTTTTTAAAGCAGCGACAATCATAGCTAGTACTCATATAGCACCTACTAAGTGCCAGTGAAGCACTTTACAAAAATTTCACTGGGGGGGGGCAGCGAGGTGGTGCAGTGGATAGAGCCCTCACCCTGGAGTCAGGAGGACTCGAGTTCAAATCCAGACTCAAACACTTGACACTAGCTGTGTGACTCTAGGCAAGTCACTTAACCCCAACTGCCTCACCAAAACAAACAAACAAAAAAAAGATTTCACTGGGTCCTTACAACAATCCTGGGAGGTCAGTTTTATCCCTATTTTACAGATGAGGAAACTGAAGCAAACAGAGGTTAAGTGACTTGCCCAAGGTCACATAGCTAGCAAGTGTCTGAGGCTGGCCTTGAACTTAGGTCTTCCCGACTCTAGGCCCAGCACTCTATTCAATGCCGCCTCAGATATCTTCATCTAAGTCAACGATAAAAATGCTGAATAGGATAGGATGAGAATGGAGCCTGCAGGCTCACTGCTTGAGACCCCTCTCAGCTGGCTCTGGTTCATTAATCAGCAAGTTTTGAGGACCACTGTTTTTCAACAGCTTTAAATCTCTTGATTATTCAAGCAGTATTTCTGCCATCTGATGCACAAGATCAGCAAAGGTCTTGCTAAAAATCCACATCCATGCCTAAGCATTCCACAGTTCTAACAATATAATCCATCTTCTATATTCAGTGAGCTCCAGAGGCTCCCTGTGGACTTGAGGCTCAAACAGAAAATCCTTGGTTTGGTGTTAAAAGGCCTCCACATTGTGGCTCCTTCCTTCCCGAACCACTGCTACGGGCCTCTTGGCTATTCCTCCCCCAAGACCCTCATCTCCCGACTCTGGGTGTTTGCACCGGCTGTACCCAGTGCTCTCCCTCCTCATCTCTGCCTCTTGGCTTCCTTCAACCTCACCCTTTACCAGAGGCCTTTCCTGATCCCCCTTAATGCTGCTGCCTTTCCTTTGGGACCATCTCCAATTTATCCCGTCTATATCTTGTTTCTACATAGCTGTTTGTGTGTTGTATCCCCCATTAGACTGTGAGTTCTTTGAGGGCAGGGACTGTCTTGTCTTTCTTTGTATCATTTAGCACAATACCCCAGCATGTTTTTGTCGTTTTGTTATTTTCAGTTGTGTCTGACTCTTTGGGTTTTCTTGGCAGAGATACTGGAGTGGTTCGCCACTTCCTTCTCCAGCTCATTTGAGGCAAACAGGGATAAGTGACTTGTCCAGGGTCACACAGCTAATAAGTATCTGAGGCTACATTTGAACTCAGGTCTTCTTAACTCCAGGTCTGGGATTCCATCCACTGCACACCACAGTAGGCACTTAATAAATGCTTATTGATTTGACTCAACTATTAAACTTGTTCTGTTCCCTTGGGCAAGTCATTTCCCTTGTCTGGCTCTCTTATTTTCTCTATGTGCAAAATGAAGGGGTTGGATTCAATGACCTCTAAGATCCCTTCCTGTTGGACACTGAGGTTCTGCCTGTTCCCAATCCTGATGTTACCTGTATTTATTTTTCCTCCTGGGAGTTTGGGGAGGGGTACTGCTGCTGCTTTTGGATGGGTCCAAATCCTGGTTCCATTTTGCACTCTCAGAATTAGGGGTCAACGGCACGGCCTTCCCAGATCTGGCCTTCTCTAAAGCCCAAGGAGGGTCAAACTCTGGTGGCGCTGGCCGGGCCCCTGCAGGCCTGCCAAACAGTGTCTCATCCACGAAAGATGTGCTGGACTTGACCCGGTAGCCACCTCGGCCTTTGTGCTGCAGCTGGAGGGCCTGAATTCCATTGATGGTGAGCTCTACTGAGGTCTTCAGCATGAACCTGAAATCACAAGGCGGCCCCAGGGAGTCCACAAGAGGCCCTCTGGGCTCTAATTCTCCCTTCTACTGCGCCTCTGACCAAGTCCCCTTCTCTGTGCCCCGTGCCAAATAGGATCTAATAAATACCCTGTAAGCCAAGGGTAGCACACACCACCTCCCTTCCCCGTCTGTGAAGCTGGTGGGGTCTAAGCCCCTGCAGGCAGCACCTGCCTCCCCGCCAGCTCACTGAGCTGCCCGGAGAGATAGACAGAAAAGGCCTGTTGCTACATGAGCTGCCCGGAGAGATAGACAGAAAAGGCCTGTTGCTACATGCTAGCACACAAGGAAACAAAGAAACAATCCACGACAGCACAAGCAGGTCCTCAGGATCTAGCACTTTGTGAGGACCCCGGGGGCTGCGTTCCTGCTCAGACAACGCATGGCGTGGAGAGGTGGGGAAGTGGAGGAGGGGGGGGCCTCGGGGACCTGAGCCTCAGGCATCTCAGGGGCTTCCTCTTCCCCCAAAGGCATCTGTAAAAAATGCAACCCAGAAGACCCCCTTCCCTCCCCCAACATCCCTTCTTCTTCAGTCCGAATCTTTTTGAAAAAGTCTGCAAGTTTCCGTGGCAGGGTTCAGGCGGCCTCCCCAGCTGCCCGTTTTCCTTCCTTAGATCCGGCCCCTCCCCCAGGCGTGCACTTCTCTGCAGGGATGCGCATAGCGAAACCCCCGGCCCCAGCCCATAGCACCCCTCCCCCCGTTCCGCCCCCAGCCGGGGCGCTTACCTGGGGGAGGAAGGCACCTTCTGGCCTTGCGGTCCCAGGATGCCCACTGACATTGGGCTCGGATAGCGCCCCAAACAGCCCCGGCCATCCTGGTAGCAAAGAGCGCCGAGGACTCGACCATTCTCTCGAGCGCGGCGGGGGAGACCAGGGCCCGCCTCGTCCTCCCCGCTGCCCTCGCTGCTCGGATCCCGGGCCAGTAGGCGAGGAAGAAGGCTCCAGACCTGCCCCGACAGGGGGACGGCCTCGGGACCCCGCACGGCCGGCGGCAGGAGACGCGGACGGTGCAGCAGCGCTTCCCTCGCCTCTTGGTACAGACCGGCACGCCCCGGACGCACGCCAGCGCCCGCCGCCGCAGCCTGGTGGTGCCGCGCGCCCGCTTGCGGGGCACGTCAGTCATGCACATGGTCAAGGCCAAGGGCTGGCGGCGCGGCCGTACGCACGGCTTGCACCGAGGCCTCCACCAGGCTCGCGGCGGCGACATGACCGATGGGGACTTCGAGATCCAGCCCGAAGGCAGCGGGGACGCCCGGGCCCGGAAGGTGAGGAGCCCGGGGGGAGGGGGAGGGAACGCGGGACCTGGGGACCTGCCCCGGTCGGGAGTGGAGGGGCCGCACCGCCCGCTGAAGCCCCAGTGCGCCCTGCCGGGCCTGGCTAGGAGCTCCGGGCCGGTTCGCTTCCTCTCAGGAACCTCATTGGCCGCTTCCCGATGACGAGGCGGGATCATTGTCCCCTCCAGCCAATCAAAAGCAGCCGCTCGGATCCGCCTGGTCCCCTTTGCGGGGGGGGGGGCAGTAACTGGCATCGTCTGCTGCCAGGCGGAAGTGGGGGGTAGATCTGCTGCTGGACACAATCCCTAGCCCCCTGGGGTGACCTCCGAGAGCTGGAGCATTTCACTAGCTCGTTTATGGAGGGGTGGGGGGACTGGACCTGTGGTTTCATTGATAGGATGGGGACTTCCATGGGAGCAAACTCCCTCTACCAATGTAAGCTTAGCCACCTTCTCTACCGCTTAACCTTGGGAGGCAGCTTCCCAGAGACTACGTGGTTTTCATCCTCATGCTTGGAATTCTTCCTCTTCTCACTTCTACCCCCAAGCCTCCCCCACTTCCTTCAGGTCCCAGCTAAGACACTCATTCCAGATGCCCCTTATTTTTTGCTGCCTTCCCTCTGACATCATCTCCAGTCGACCCTTGCTTGCATGTTGTCTCCTTGAGAGCAGGGGCTGTCTTTTGCCTCTTTTTGTGTCCCCAGCCCTTAGCTTAGTACCTAGCACACAGTAGGTGTTTAATAAATGTTTATTAAGTGTCAAGGCAGAACTTGAACCCAGGTCCTCTGGGGAAGCACTCACATAGCACTAAGAGTTTACAAAGTGTTTCCACTACAACCTTGTTAGGTAGGCTTTGGCTGGCATTTTAAGTTTTACTTATTTCATCCTAAATGTGTAGAGCCCTGGATCTTTAGTCAGAAAGACTTGAGTTCAAATGTGATGTCAGATGCCTACTAGCAGTGTGACCCTGGGCAAATCACTTTACCTCTGTCTGCCTTAGTTTCCTCATCTGTAAAATGAGGATAATAATAGCATCTGCCTTTCAAGATTGTAGTGAAAATGAAATGAATTTATAACCATAATCCTTTTGTAAACCACAAATGTCAACTGCTTGTGTTTCTATCCTCCCAGCATCTCTGAAAGGTGGGTTGGGCAGGAATACTGCCTTCAGCACTTCTTAAACTGTGGGTCTGGTCTAGACAGATGAGGAAACTGAGTCTCAGAAAATTTAAGTGGCTTGCCCATGGGATGGATGGATAGTAGCAGAGCTGAGACCAGAATCCAGGTCTTTTGACTTAAATCAAGGGCCCTTTCCATCATCTTGTGGTTACTGCTCCTCTTTAGAGACATATGGTCCAGTTGGTGACCTCCAAGAGTTTTAAAGTCAGCTTGGAGAGACCCTCAGTCACCCTCCTGGGAGCAAATGCTAGGTGCTGAATGGGTGAGACGACATAAATTGCTCCAGGGGTACAGAGATGGATTGTGGCTGAATTGAGCCTTTAAGGACAGATAGAATTTTGATGGGGGGGGGGCCGAGTGTCCTTCCAGGTGAGGAAGTGAGAATTTAATTCATCAGACATTTATTAAGAGTTTACTCTGAACCCTGGAGTCTGGGGATAGAAACCCCAAAGTGAGACAGTCCCTGTCATTAAGAAGTTTACATTCAGTCAATTAGCAAGCATTTTTTTAAGCCTCTACTATATGCCAGGCACTAGAAATACAAAGATGAAGAATTTAATCCCCTTTCCACAAAGAGCTTACATTTTAATGGATGAAACAACAAATGTACTCATATAGATATATGTCTGCCTGCATGCATGTGTGTGTATAAGTGTATAAGCTAGGGATAGAGACATTGGTACAGGAACTTCCAGGTGAGGAAACTCCTTCCCCAGGTTACCCCACCATTATGAGTCAGAAGTAGGATTTGAACCCAGATCCTCCTGGGTGTGTACACAAAAGAACTATAAATATCTAAGGTAGTTAGGGAGGGAGGGAAGGAAGGAGGAAGTCACTAATTCTTGGTGGGGTGGGAGTAGGGGTGGAATCAGGATTCTGTCATGGATTGTTGTGGGGTTAGTGAAGACACCAGTTTGACAAGAGCAGAGGGTTTCCTGGAAAGGACTAGAAGACAAGGTTGGGAGGATACAATGACTTGCCCATGGTAGTAACCCAATAAATACTGATTTGGGAGCCTTGAATGCTGAGCTCGGAGTTTGTCCTTTATCCTGTAGGCAGTGGAGGGCCCCAGAAGGCTTTTGAGCTGGGTGGACCTCCATGAAAGAAGTGCCTTAGAGAGATGAATGGGTCTGATAGCTTGTGCAGTGACCTTGGAGGGGTAGAGACCGCTGTGTGCCCACGCCTGGTTCTTCCCCCACTCCCCCAGCTCTTCCACTTTCTAGCCAGCCAGGGCTGTTCCCTGCCCATGCCCCCCTGTGATATCCATGGCACATACGTATCTTTGAGTGGTCCCTAGGTGACCCTGTCTCTTGCTCTCCATGACAGCCGGGTCCTAGTAAGCCCCTGCCTGCCTTCCCGGCTTCGGAGGCTGCCTCAGATGTTGAGCCTGACACCCAGGAAATGGTTCGTGCCCAAAACAAGAAGAAGAAAAAGTCTGGAGGCTTCCAGTCCATGGGTGAGTTTGCCGTGGGGCCGCAGGGAGGGAGCCCTGGTGGTAGCCCAAAGCCGGAGGCCCTGGGTGGGCTGTGGGCGGCAGGGCTGGGGCCCAGGAGTTCATCAGAGATGCTAACAGGTGTGTGTTGAGCGCCTCTGCTGGCCCTGGTGGCATGCAGAGAAGCTGAGGATGATCCTTACCCTCCAGGAGCTCCCACTCGAGCTGAGTTGGCAGGACTCAACGCATGCCACTATTGGGGACCAATGAAGATTCAGTTTGTTTAGTGCGGGTGTTGTATGTAGTGAGTAAAAGGGGAGAGGTCAGTGGGTGTCAGTGATGAGGGAGGGCTTGGGGTGGGGGTGGAGATATGGGAGCCTCGAAGAACCAGGAGGGCCGCCCAGGACAAGGGGAACACACAGGCAGAGCACACAGTTGGAACAGCTCATGTGAGAGACTGCAGGTGTGAGAATGAGCATGAATGTGTGTGAGCATTGTGTGACCATGTACGAGTGTGTGTGATCGTGTGTATATATGAGTGAACATGTGTGTGCGTGCATGTCACTGAGTGATTGTGTGTGTGTGGATGTGAGCATGTGTCTATGAGCAGTTGTGGGTGGGTGTGGAAGAGTGTGTCTGAGAGAAGGAACATGTGAGTGGGTGTGAACACGTGTATCTGTGTGAGTGTGAGCCTGTGTGGGTGTACAAAGTGTGGGGCTAGGGTCTGGATCTGTGATTTTGCTGGTGACCTTGGCCCCTAGAAGGGCCCCGAGCGTTTGAGCGACTCAGTGAAGATGACCTGGCCAGTGTGCATCGTGGGCAGGATTTGAGCCAGGGCTGCCCAACTCTGAGGCCAGCTCCCGATCCACTATGCCTGCTATCGCCTAGGTAACCAAATGAACACCAGCATGGATAGCGCAGTATGAAACAATAGGGTGAACCGTGGTCTTACCCCCGATAGAGGGGAGGGACCAGGGAGTGAGTGAGGTTCCTGCCTTAGTTCTGGGATCTGATGAGCTTTGGTGTCTCCTGTAGGCTTGAGCTACCCTGTCTTCAAAGGCATCATGAAGAAGGGCTACAAGGTGCCCACGCCCATCCAGAGGAAGGTGAGGACACGCGGGCTCTTTCCCCCCTTCAATCCCTTCTTCAGACTGCCCTCCCCCATGTCACAGCCCCTGGCCCAGCTTGTCTCTGTTTTTAGAAGGAAATAAGGGATTCTTTGGGCTCGACTCCCTTTAAAATGGGAAGAGGAATGGGACTGGACCCTTGCCGTCATTGATCTAGGGAACCTCCCCAGTGAGGACACTCTGTCTGCCGACGCAGGCCAGAGCTGCCCAGAGCCTGGAGAGGTGAAATTGGATCAGAGACAGGGCTGGAACCCAGGGCTTCCTGATTTCACGACCAGCTCTCTATCTGCTACCCTCACTGCTTTCCTTTAAAACAACCTATTCAGTTGACATCTTCTTTTCATTTACTTTAGATGCCTTTTATATCTGTCCTTTTACCTTCCTGTCCTCAAAACAGCTCTTTGGAGGAAGCTGGGCTTACTATACAATTTTTGCCAAGGGGAAAACCAAGGCCAGACCTGCCCAGTGTCCAGCATCAAGTCAGTAGCACGGCCAGGACCAGAACCCAGCTCTTTGGACTCTACCTGGATTTGTGCTTTTATTGCTAGAGGGAGTCCCCGGTGAAGAGCTCCCTCCCCCAGTGCAAATCGGCACCTGCTCTGAACCATTCAGCCTTAAAGAGTTGCCTGGCACACTGGACAGCTAAGTGACTTGTCCAGGGTCACACAGACAGTCTGATTTGAATGCAGCTCTTCCTGACTCTGAGGCCAGCTCTCTATGTACTACACCAGGGGCCCCTGAGGCCACAAGTGGCCCGGGTTGGGAAGAATTGGATGCCCCTGCCCTACCCCACGAGACCTCTGTCGATGCCTGTTCCTGGGCCTTTTTACTCTCCCTCAGTACTGCCCGGTGACCTTGTGTCTTCTCTTCCTCCCCCATCAGCTGTCTGCTGGGAAGGACACCAGTCTTCAGTCTGAAGACTGAATGAGGGTCGGGCCAGACTGGAGCACAGATAAAGCCCCTCTTTACCAGCCCCGGCCTTAGAACCAAGGCGTGATCAAAAGAATAAGAATTCTCATTTCCGGTTCTCTTCTCGCTGCCACCTTCCTCCCCCCCGTGTGAACCTGTGATTTTTAGCATAGGGGACAAAACTCTCTGTCAAGGCCTCTTAGCAGCTGCGCTCTATCGTGCTAAGAGATGCCCCGGGCACTGAGGGGTCAGAGATCGTCCATTTTTCATAGTCAGTTGGTGTCAGAGGCGACACCTGAAGCTGCAGGGTTGGTTCTCTCTCCAGGCAGTCAGTCAGCATTTCCCAAGTGCCTCCTTGGCCCTCTGTTACGTCACAGTGTCTGTGGAGTGGGTGGTACAGATCCACCCACTGCTTTCTTCCCTGCTGGCCTGTAGAACATCGGGGAGATGTTCTATTATCCCATCTGTCAAATGGGCATAAAGTGTGCCTCTCGCAGGCTTGTTGATAACGTGTGAGGCCTCAGGGGCTCTAGACACAGGTGCTGAGATGACAAGCCTTAGCCAGCGTTCCCCCCATAGAACCGCTCCGATCCAGGGCTCACAGCATCACAGGCTGGAGAGGGGGAAGGGCCCTCAGTGGCCAGCTGGTCCAGCCACATGTGGGTGGAGTCACCATGGGGCCGTCCAGCCCTTGCTTGAACGGGGACTCACTCCTCGAGCAGCCTGTGTTTTCCCACTGCCTCTCTGTCTCTCATCCCCACTTCAGCCCTATTCCAAGGCTGGCCCTAGGGGGAGGAAGGTAGTGGGAACAAAGGTGGTGTCTTATTCTCTGCCTCCAACCCCGTGCGTTCCCTCCTCAGACCATCCCGGTGATTCTGGACGGCAAGGATGTGGTGGCCATGGCCCGAACGGGCAGTGGAAAGACAGCCTGCTTCCTCATCCCCATGTTTGAGAAACTCAAGGCCCACAGTGCCCAGACGGGTGCCCGTGCCCTCATCCTGTCACCCACCCGGGAGCTGGCCCTGCAGACGATGAAGTTCACCAAGGAGGTGAGCAGGGGCTTGGCGGGCAGGCGGGGGGGGGGTTGGGTTCTTCACCTTTTGTGTGTCCTGGACCCCTTGGGCAGTCGGGTGAGGTCTGTGGACCTTTGCTCAGACTCATGGTTTTAAGTGCTTGTATGGTAAAATGAACGTGGGGTTTATTGGAATGCAGATTTCTTTTAGAATTCTTTACATAAAGTAAAAACTGTCTGTATGGTGAAGCACAATTATGAACCTGAAAAAAAGAAATTTGTGGGCCCTGGATTAAGGTCTTGTGGGGGGTCAGGGTGGGGAGGGCTATGAGGGGGGCTCATAGAAGGAGGAGCCTGGAGGGTGGAGAAGGGCAGGCCTGGCTTTCCTTCTGAGCTCTGGCCTCACCTTCTGTCTCCTCTGCTCCGCAGCTGGGCAAGTTCACCGGCCTGAAGACGGCCCTGATCCTTGGGGGGAGACAAGTAAGACCTTCTTCGGACGTCCCTGCCCTTTTCCCCTCCCCCGGCCCGCAGCGGTGATTCTGAAGGCAGCAGCGCCTTCCGATGACATGGGGGGTTTCCTTTCCCAGGACCTGGCTACTCTCCTTTGTTTACGCGCCTCCTTTGCTTCCAAATCCAGCCCTGCGTCCTTGTCACTGGGAGCCGCAGCTCTGCAAAGCTCAGCCCTTCAAGGAGGCTGACTCGCTGGCTAGCGTCCTACCCTGCAGACCCCCACGTTGGGGGCTTTTTGTTGTCTGAGAGGCAGCGTGGCTTAGTGGATAAAGCGCTGGATTCGGAGTCAGCAAGGCTGGTCTTCAAACTCTGTCTCTGCCGTGTAACTTGCTGTGTGACCCTGGGTGAAGCGCTCAGCAGGTCTGAGCCTCAGGCAGGACATTAACAGACGGGCTGTAGAAGGGGCTCACACCTCTGTGAAATCACAGGCCCTTGATTTGATATGTTTGTATTTTCACATCCACAATCTCCGCCTGATCCTCAGAGTACATTTGTGAGGCCACCGCAGTGTAATCCCCATTCTTACAGATGGGGAAACTGAGTCATCCTCCCCCAAGGTCACACAGTGAGTCAGGACCAATAGCTCCATTGCTTGAAAGTAATCAGCAGAGCCAGACCATTCTGGGGTGTCTTGTTTCTGGGCTCATGCTTTCTTCCTCCTGTGCCTTGTTGCACCTCAGAACCCCGGGTTCTTTTGGTTACATCCGGCTATCTCCCCACTAACCCAAAGCCCCCGTCCTTCAGAATGCCTCTTTTGCTGCCTTATGCCTTATTTTTAGTTTCTGACGCTGTCACACCTGCCTTCGCTCTTCCTTCTCTGGCTCCCAAGAACATCAGAGCTGTCCCCTTCCTTGGGGCACCGTCAGCCCTGAGTTTCGGTTTGGGTGGATTGTCTCAGTGATGCTGTCTTCAGAAGGCTAGCACCAAGTTCTCCTTGGCGGAACTCCCTAGAGCAGGGGGAAGCAGGGTGCATCCCACCCAGGCCAGGAATCAGCAGCGCTAGCTCCAGTTCAGCTGTCACCAGTAACCGTCCTGTCAAAGAGGGGCCAAGGACAGCGGTCCCTCGCTGAGGTCCTAGGGCTGCTGTGAGACCAGAGCTCAGCACACCTGACGCTTGTAGAGCCCATGGGTGCATACTGTGGTGCTTTAAGGATCAGCAAGTACTCGGACGTGTAGGACCTTGTCTGGGTGTCCCCCACATGATGTGGTGAGGAAGGTGAGGCCCACCGTGGGTCATGCAGCCAGCTAGGGTCTGGTGGGATTTGGACCCTGGCTTTCCTGATCCCAAGTCCATGCCCTCAGTGGAGAAACGAGAAGACCTGAGTTAGAATCCTGCCTCAGATGCTGACTACTGTGGGGCCTTGGGGAAGTGTGTCACCTCTGATTTCTTCCGTAAAATGGAGAGATTGGACAGCTTTCTTCAGCTCCAGTGATCCTGTGACCTTCCTTAGCCCTGGTTTTCTTTATTTTGTGTGAGGCAGTTGGGGTTAAGTGACTTGCCCAGGGTCACACGGCTAGTAAGTGTAAGGTGTCTGAGGCTGGATTTGAACTCGGGTGCTGCTGACTCCAGGGCTGGTGCTCTACCCACTGCGCCACCTCGCTGCCTGTCAGTCATCTCTGTATTAATAAGATAGTAACCGAATCCTTCTGCTTGTTTCTCCCCTCTTCGTTTTTCTTTTGTGTTTTCCCAGATTCTCTTCTGTAACTTCTGTTGTCGTTTTGAAATAATGACGATGATAAGTGACTTCATGCAGCTCTTGAAAGGCGCAGAGGTTTTTGCAGGCGTTAGGTCGTCTCCCGCAAGAGTGCGGCGAGGTCAGACACCTCTAGGAGAAGCTGAGGTCTAGCGAGGTGAAGTGACTCGGCCACAGCCACACGGCGGGTGCGCGGGCCCCGAGGCGGAGGTGGCGGCGCGCTGCTCTCCGCCGCGGGCGTCCGGGGGGTGCCGTTCTTTTGGCTCTGGCTTCTTCCCTCCCCATCGCTCTGTCTGAGTCTTTTCCGCGCTTCCTCGTGGTCCCTGTGCGTGTTGTTCCTGCTGCATTATTGTAACAGTGATCATCAATCCCGTTACGTTCGTGGGCCGTGGCTTGGGCTGCCATCTCCCACCTGTTGGTGCGGCTGGGTGTTTTCACGGCCTAGCAGTGCCTTTGGTCTCCTGATGCCCCTTCCCCTGTTCACTTCCAGCGGGCGCCATGCCCTGTACCCAGCTCTCCTGAGAGCAGACTGGCGTGGGGCATTGTAATTAGCTGAGTTTCAGAGATGGTGGTCATTGTGTGTGCTGTTCTCCTGCCTTCTTTGCCCCGTGTCACTTGTACAGGGTTTCCTATTTCTCTAATTCTCGCTCTGGGGTTTTTTGTCTGGTCTGTGATTTTATTGATGTGGGGAGCTTCCAGGGTAAAACTCCTTCCTTGCTTAGGATCAGAGATTTAGAGTTATAAGAGGTTTAGAGACTCTCTACTTCAACCCCTTCATTTTACAGCTGAGGAAACAGGCCCAGCGACCTGTCCAGTTACATGTGGTGAATGGCAGAGCCAGGATTGGAACCCAGGTCCTAGGACACCAAATTCAGCACATTTTCCATTTCATCGTCCTCAGTCGACTCTAGTTTTAGAAAATTGTCCGGAGCACTGAGAGGTTAAGACATTTGCCCAAAGCAATGCAGCTGGTCAGGATCAAAGACTAGACTTGAATGGAGGTCTTCCTGATGCCAAGGCTGCCCTCGCTTTTCAGCCTTACCCAGCTTCTCATTGTTTGAGGCACAGTAATGTAGCCTATCCCTTCGTAGTCCACGGTCCTGCCACTTTCTGATTGTCCCTGTCCCTCCTTCTTTGGGATGTTTGGCTTTCCTCTTCCTTGATCAGGCAACATCCCTAGTGCTACTCTTAGGCTTATGGACCGTGCTTAGAGCCCTGTTTTGGTTTGCAAATGAGGGTGTGATTGGACAGCACCGACCCAAGGGAGCAGCATTTATCTGGTGTAGCTAGGTAGAAGTTGGAAGAACACATAGAAGGGAGAGGGATTAGAGGTGTGTGTGTTTGTGTTTGGGACCGGGCAGTGATTTTTTGAGCTGTGAGTGATGAGAAAAGCAGGGTATGTAACTATCCTTGGGAAAAGAAAGAGAAGAGGTGGTGGGGAAGAGCTCACAGGCCAGGCAGTTCTTGGGGCTGACCACCAGGTGACACACTCCGCCCAGGACGGCTTGGTTGCTCCCTGGAGCGGGGTAGAAAGAAATGTGTAGAAAGAAGGCTGACCTCTGGATTTTGGCAGAACGGGTGGTGGTTTGTGGAGCCAGGGTTCTGTGAACAAGGTGTTCTCATGTTGGGCGTTTAGCACTTGGGTAGCTATATCATTATTAACTCAATCTGGACTTCTCATTTGTGGGCTCATCTCACCCTTTCTTGAACTTGGGCAGGTTTTTAGCCTGTATCCCTTCTTGGGACACATTTTTTCCATACCCAGGGTCTTTATCGGGTTGTCTGGGCTTGGGTTTCAGAAGCATCATAGGATTACAGTTCAAGGACTGGAAGGGGCCTCAGCGGGCCTCTGTTTCAATCCTTTCCTTTCACTTGTGAGGAGTGAGCATTAGAGTCAGGATTCAAACCCGGTCCTCTGGCTCGAAAGCCACTCCTGTTCCCGGGGTATTTGGCTCCAGAGGATCCCAAATCAAGGTAGGTGCTGTGTGCCCTTCCTGGCATGATGTGGAGACTCCATTTTCTGTTTTCTACAGGATGGAAGACCAGTTTGCAGCACTGCATGAGAACCCAGATATGTGAGTATGCGGAGCTAGAAGGAATCCTTCAGACCCCTCCTGTGCATGCTGGACATCCTTGAGTCTGTGACTGGAAGAGGGAGGGGGCATCTGTCCCTCTGGTCTGGGATTAGGGTGCAGTGGTGGCCCTCAAGGAGGGCGGGGGCGCTATCGAGAGAGGGTGCTGCCAGCGGTGATGGAGGGGGCTGTCCTGTTGCAGAATCATCGCCACCCCTGGGCGCTTGGTGCACGTGGCCGTGGAGATGAACCTGAAACTGCAGAGTGTGCAGTATGCTGTCTTTGATGAGGCGGACAGGTGAGGCGGGGGTGGGAGCTCGGGCAGTGGAGAGGAGAGGTTCCTTGGAATGAGAGCTGGGGCCCCCTCGCTTCACCCCCAGCCTGCGTCAGAGCCTGGCCTCTGCATCTCTTGAGTTTGCAAAGAGCTCTTGTCCCTGCTGACCCTGGGTAGTAGAGGGCAGGGAGGATTATTTATTCCCGTTTTCCCGAGGAGGAGACTGAAGTGAGCTGGCCACGGTTTCTTAGCTATTCCTAAAACCCCTGGCATCCTTTGAGACACAGCTCAGAGACCGCCTTCCTGATCCCCAAACTCCCCTGCACGTGACTATGTTGCTTATATGAGAGGCAGTGAGGAGACGCTGTACACCAGACCCACAGTCAGGAAGACCTGAGTTCAAATCCTGCCTCAGACACTTAACCACGGTGTGACCCTGGACGAGGCATGTAGCCTCCCTCAGCTTCATTTCCCTGTTTGTAATGATGGGGTGATCATAGCACTTACCTCCGGGGTGGTTCAGATGGGATCAGATGGGATAGTGTATGCAGAACCCAACACCAGATGATGGCTATGGCCACCATATTTTTGTATTGAATTTCCATACATTTAGATATGTGCGTTGGCTGTCTGAGAGTATGGATTATTTCCTCCTCTGGCCCAGGACAGGGCCTGGCACTTGGTGGGCCCTTAATAAATGCTTGCTGATATACCTGTGAATCAGCTGGGTGCTGGAGACCCAGCCTCCTCATTCTCTCTGCTCCTCTGTCCCAGGCTGTTTGAAATGGGCTTTGCGGAGCAGCTGCAGGAGATCATTGGCCGCCTTCCCGAGGACCACCAAACCGTGCTGTTTTCTGCCACGCTGCCTAAACTCCTCGTGGAGTTTGCCCGAGCTGGTGAGAGGCTTGCCTGCCCACACACCCCATCTTCACCCCGGGCTCCCCTTGTTGTGACCCTCCTTTGGGGGGACAAGCACCAATGGGAAAAGGGGGCTCCTGGCTGGGCGTGGGGCTCACCTGAGGATGTGGCATGGTGTAGCCCGCTGAACACCCTCCCTGCCCTATCCTTCTGCAGCCTCCCTCCCATCCTCCCCATCCTCACTCTCTGATCTCCCCCAGGCCTCACGGAGCCAGTGCTGATCCGTCTCGATGTGGACACCAAACTTAATGAGCAACTGAAGGTGAGGTCCTCAGATCTGCCCAGCACCTCCCAAGCCTCTCTTTGAGATAAAGTCCCCACGGTTCCCCGGGCTCCAGGGCAAGGCCGGCCCTGCTCTGGACCTCCAGGCTTTCTCTGGGTGTCTGCAGGGAAGAACAGAGAAAGGGGGCTTCCCATGGTGGGACAGAGGCCCAGTCTAGGCCCATGGATAGAAAGAACAGCTAGTCCTTAATGTTCATCAGGTGCTTGGTAATTTACACGTTATTTTCATGTCTTTTATCCCATCTGAGCTTGAGGCCTTGTGCTATAGCGGACAGGGAACTTGGACCTGAATACCAGAGTTCAGGTCCTACCTGTGAAATGTGTTAGCTGGTATCCCTGGGCAACTTACTTAACCTTTAGTGCTCTTCACAACTCCAGGAGGGAGAGAAGTGGCCAGCCTGCGTTGTTAAGGGAGTTCCCAGCACAGTGAAATCAGAGGTCCGGTTCTAGGCTCACGCCTGTCTCCCTGATCCTTGAGATCGCAGCCACACATGGTCTTATCTCCTTGATTAGAGGAGGAGGAGGAGGAGGAGGAGACTTAGCCAGGCTGATTGGGGGCCGAGCCAGGGCTGGAAGCCAGCCTTCCCCTTGACACTGGCGCTCCTTCCCCCACACCTTAGATGGCCTTCTTCCACATCCGTGAGGATGACAAGCCAGCTGTGCTCCTCCACCTCCTGCGCAACGTGGTCCGGCCCCAGGACCAGACTGTGGTCTTCGTGGCCACGAAGCACCACGCCGAATACCTGAAAGAGGTGAGTGGGGCCCCGCTGGCAGGAGGGCCCCCTGGGGAGGCTGGGAAGACTCCTGTCCTTGGCCGATCTGGGCAGCAGGAAAAGAGTTCCCTGGCAGCGCCACCAGGGGGTGGCGGCGCCTCCAAAGCAGAGCCTTACGGGGAAGCTCGGCCGTCACTGTGCTGATCTCATCCATCCATCTGTGGATAGAGGGGGTAGAAACATCTGTGTGTGCGTGTGCTTAACACACACACACACACACATGTTGCATACACACGTGCATTTCACGTATACACGTGGTTCATATACATGCGTGCGTTTGCCTGCATGTACACGATACATATAGGTGTGTCTCTTACATGCACACAGGCATGTCACATACACGCAGCTGTATTTTCCTTGGGGATGTGCGCTTCATATATACAATATACATGCATGTATATTCCCTACATGGGTTGTGTGTGTCATACATGTCACACATATATACTCTGTGCTGTCATGCGTGTGTGTTTTGCATGTACGTGTATTTAACATGCGCCTGTCTTATGTGGGGGGTGTATGTACATGTGTGTACGTGTGTGCACACCTGCACCCTGACGTGCCTCCTGACCAGTGACTACGTTGTATGCCTCCCTCCCACCCCCAGCTGAAAGTAAGCCCGCTGAGGACAGGGGCAGTCTCGTTGGTGTATTTGTGGTCCTGCAGTGCCGTTCGTTGTCTTGGGGGGTTAGGGGGGACGTGGGGGTTGTTGTATCCCTGCCCACTAACCCCCCCCATCTTTCTCTCCCCCTACCTCAGCTGCTGACAGTCCAGGGCATGTGCTGCACCCACATCTACAGCTCCCTGGATCAGACAGCACGCAAGATCAACCTGGCCAGATTTGTCCACGGCAAATGCTCAGCCCTCATTGTCACTGATCTGGCCGCCCGGGGCCTGGACATCCCCCTGCTGGACAATGTGATCAACTACAACTTCCCTGCCAAGAGCAAGCTCTTCCTACATCGAGTGGGTGAGTGCCAGCCTGGCCTCACGCTTTGTGTTCTGGGTGCCTCTGACCTTCCCAGCTCTGACCTTCCCTGCTCTGACCTTCCCAGCCCTGACCTTCCCTGTTCTGAGGCCCCTCCCAGCTCTGACCTTCCCTGCTCTGACCTTCCCTGTTCTGAGGCCCCTCCCAGCTCTGACCTTCCCTGTTCTGAGGCCCCCCCCCCTGACCTTCCCAGCTCTGACCTTCCCTGTTCTGAGGCCCCTTCCCAGCCCTGACCTTCCCTGTTCTGAGCCCCTCCCAGCTCTGACCTTCCCTGCTCTGACCTTCCCTGTTCTGAGGCCCCTCCCAGCTCTGACCTTCCCTGTTCTGAGGCCCCTCCCAGCCCTGACCTTCCCAGCTCTGACCTTCCCTGTTCTGAGGCCCCTTCCCAGCCCTGACCTTCCCTGTTCTGAGGCCCCTCCCAGCCCTGACCTTCCCTGTTCTGAGGCCCCTCCCAGCCCTGACCTTCCCAGCTCTGACCTTCCCTGTTCTGAGGCCCCTCCCAGCTCTGACCTTCCCTGCTCTGACCTTCCCTGTTCTGAGGCCCCTCCCAGCTCTGACCTTCCCTGCTCTGACCTTCCCTGTTCTGAGGCCCCTCCCAGCTCTGACCTTCCCTGTTCTGAGGCCCCTCCCAGCTCTGACCTTCCCTGTTCTGAGGCCCCTCCCAGCCCTGACCTTCCCAGCTCTGACCTTCCCTGTTCTGAGGCCCCTCCCAGCTCTGACCTTCCCTGTTCTGAGGCCCCTTCCCAGCTCTGACCTTCCCTGCTCTGACCTTCCCTGTTCTGAGGCCCCTCCCAGCCCTGACCTTCCCTGTTCTGAGGCCCCTTCCCAGCTCTGACCTTCCCTGCTCTGACCTTCCCTGTTCTGAGGCCCCTCCCAGCTCTGACCTTCCCTGTTCTGAGGCCCCTCCCAGCCCTGACCTTCCCTGTTCTGAGGCCCCTCCCAGCTCTGACCTTCCCTGTTCTGAGGCCCCTCCCAGCTCTGACCTTCCCTGTTCTGAGGCCCCTCCCAGCCCTGACCTTCCCAGCTCTGACCTTCCCTGTTCTGAGGCCCCTCCCAGCTCTGACCTTCCCTGTTCTGAGGCCCCTCCCAGCTCTGACCTTCCCTGTTCTGAGGCCCTCCCAGCCCTGACATTCCCTGTTCTGAGGCCCCTCCCAGCTCTGACATTTCCTGTTTTGGGGCCCCTCCCAGCTCTGACCTTCCCTGTTCTGAGGCCCCTCCCAGCTCTGACCTTCCCTGCTCTGACCTTCCCTGTTCTGAGGCCCCTCCCAGCTCTGACCTTCCCTGTTCTGAGGCCCCTCCCAGCCCTGACATTCCCTGTTCTGAGGCCCCTCCCAGCCCTGACCTTCCCAGCTCTGACCTTCCCTGTTCTGAGGCCCCTTCCCAGCCCTGACCTTCCCTGTTCTGAGGCCCCTCCCAGCTCTGACCTTCCCAGCTCTGACCTTCCCTGTTCTGAGGCCCCTTCCCAGCTCTGACCTTCCCTGCTCTGACCTTCCCTGTTCTGAGGCCCCTCCCAGCTCTGACATTTCCTGTTTTGGGGCCCCTCCCAGCTCTGACCTTCCCTGTTCTGAGGCCCCTCCCAGCTCTGACCTTCCCTGCTCTGACCTTCCCTGTTCTGAGGCCCCTCCCAGCCCTGACCTTCCCTGTTCTGAGGCCCCTCCCAGCTCTGACCTTCCCTGTTCTGAGGCCCCTTCCCAGCTCTGACCTTCCCTGCTCTGACCTTCCCTGTTCTGAGGCTCCTCCCAGCTCTGACCTTCCCTGTTCTGAGGCCCCTCCCAGCTCTGACCTTCCCTGCTCTGACCTTCCCTGTTCTGAGGCCCCTCCCAGCTCTGACCTTCCCTGTTCTGAGGCCCCTCCCAGCTCTGACCTTCCCTGTTCTGAGGCCCCTCCCAGCTCTGACCTTCCCTGTTCTGAGGCCCCTCCCAGCCCTGACATTCCCTGTTCTGAGGCCCCTCCCAGCTCTGACATTTCCTGTTTTGGGGGCCCCTCCCAGCTCTGACCTTCCCTGTTCTGAGGCCCCTCCCAGCTCTGACCTTCCCTGTTCTGAGGCCCCTCCCAGCTCTGACCTTCCCTGCTCTGACCTTCCCTGTTCTGAGGCCCCTCCCAGCTCTGACCTTCCCTGTTCTGAGGCCCCTCCCAGCCCTGACATTCCCTGTTCTGAGGCCCCTCCCAGCTCTGACCTTCCCTGCTCTGACCTTCCCTGTTCTGAGGCCCCTCCCAGCTCTGACCTTCCCTGTTCTGAGGCCCCTCCCAGCCCTGACATTCCCTGTTCTGAGGCCCCTCCCAGCTCTGACCTTCCCTGTTCTGAGGCCCCTCCCAGCTCTGACCTTCCCTGTTCTGAGGCCCCTCCCAGCTCTGACCTTCCCTGTTCTGAGGCCCCTCCCAGCTCTGACCTTCCCTGTTCTGAGGCCCCTTCCCACCTCTGACCTTCCCTGCTCTGACCTTCCCTGTTCTGAGGCCCCTCCCAGCCCTGACCTTCCCTGTTCTGAGGCCCCTCCCAGCTCTGACCTTCCCTGTTCTGAGGCCCCTTCCCAGCCCTGACCTTCCCTGTTCTGAGGCCCCTCCCAGCCCTGACCTTCCCTGTTCTGAGGCCCCTCCCAGCTCTGACCTTCCCTGTTCTGAGGCCCCTTCCCAGCTCTGACCTTCCCAGCTCTGACCTTCCCTGTTCTGAGGCCCCTCCCAGCTCTGACCTTCCCTGTTCTGAGGCCCCTGCCCAGCTCTGACATTCCCTGCTCTCAGGTTTCTCCCAGCTCTGACAGTCACTGTTCTAAGGCCCCTCCCAGCTCTGACATTTCCTGTTTTGGGGGCCCCTCCCAGCTCTGACATTTTATTTTCTAAAGGCCAGTTGTAGAGTCAGAGTTACCACTGCAGTGGCCAAGGGACTTAAGATGATAGAAGCTCTGATTCTTGTGTGCCAAAATGCATGTCTCTGACTCTCTTATCCTTCTGGTAGCAGAAATTATCATCCCCATCTTGCAGATGAGGAAACTGAGGTGACTTGCCTAGGCCATACATACCACATGGATTCAGAAAGGACTGACTTCTTGACTGTGATCCCCCTCATCGTGACCTTTCCTTTCTGCAGGGCGTGTGGCCCGGGCGGGCCGAAGTGGGACAGCTTATTCCTTGGTGGCCCCCGATGAGGTCCCCTATGTCTGTGACCTTCACCTCTTCTTGGGCCGCCCGCTCACCCTGGCCATCCCCAATGAGAAGCCCTCAGGTAGCTGGGCCTGGGAGCTGGGGAGGTTGTTGGGATCCCGGAGTGGGGAAGGAGATGTGTGTCCCTGCCCCCAGAGAGCTCAGGATAGGACAGAGAAGGAAGAAAAGGCCACTTCCAGTGATGCAGCGAGGAGCCTTCCAGCCCAGAGCACCCTGGCAGGAGAATGGGGCCTTTGTTGACTTCTTTGTGGGGAAATTCAGAACATTGGAGGACAAAGGCACCTTTCTTCTGCCGGGACTCTCAAGGCCACGGGAGGCCCTCCCAGGTGGATAGCGCTTGAGGCTTTACCAAGCCCTGTGGCGAGGAGGCCTCCTGGTGAAGCTGAGCCCGCCCCCACCCAGAGCCACGGCCCTGGAAGAAGTTGGTCATTCGGCTTGGGGCCAGTGAACGCCACGCTGAGGAATTCCGTCTCCGTCCTAGAGGCGCTGGGGAGCCATGGAAGGTGTTTTTGAGCAGAGGGTAGATACAATAGTAAGTCTGTGCTAGTGGATAGAGAGTTTGGCCCTAGTTGGGAAGACCTGGGGTTCCAGTCCCATGCTGGCTTTGTGTCCCTGGGCCAGTCACTGAGCTCGGTGACCCAGACAACTCCCAAGACTCATGAGTTGCAGAGCAGCGTGCTGGTGGAGGGTCTCTGTTCTTGGGGAGTTCGTGCAGTGGTGATGTGCCGGGTCTGGTGCCTGAGCAGGCCAGGACAATGTCAGCAATGCGTGGTGAGCCCTCCCCCCGGCCTCCATCTTGGGGAGGGGCCCAGGCCGGCCCACCTTCCTCCCCGATCCTGCCGGTGCCCCCCACTGACACCCCCCATGCCCCAGCTTTTCAGTTCCTTTGGGGTGGTGCCTTCCCCCATTCGAATGTAAACTCTGAGGGCAGGGACTGTCTTTTTGTGCGTACTCGTACCCCTGGCTCTTAGCTCAGGGCCTGGCATGCAGCAAGTGCTTAATAAGTACTTATCGTCCTGCCTCATCACTTCTAGCTCTGAGGTGTAGCAGGGAAAGGAAAGGAGTGGAAAACAGCGTCGATTAAGTGCCTGTGGCGCTGTACAAACAGGATCTCCTCTGATCCCCGCGACGCCCGGGGAGGGAGGTGCTGTTGTTACTCCCGTTTTGAAAATGAGGATACTGAGGCAGACAGCTGAAGTGACCTGCCCAGGGTCACACAGCTAGTAAGTAACTGGAATGACACTTAAGTTCAGGTGTCCCCGATTCCAAACCAAGCACCCCTTCCACTGTACCGCGTAGCGGCCAGTGTCGTAGAGAAGTGAGCCCCAGAGAGGGAAGCCTGAGCCCCGTAACGTACCCGCTAGCCTTTGTGTCCAGCAGGTTACTTTCATCCCCCTTCCCCGCCCTGGGTTAATCTTCCTGGGCTCCCTCCCTCCTGAGAAATTAAGGGATAACATGGTCTAAGAACACAAGGTAACCGTGCACTTCAGAGCCAGAAGCCAGCAAAGCCTTTATTAGGCGCTTACTTTTTGCTGGCCCTGAGCCAAGAGATGGGGGTAGAGGCTGTCTGTGAGGGGAGGCAGGTGGGCCAGCCCGGACCCCTTCCCAAGATGGAGGCCTTGGGGTGGGGGGGCCTTTAAGACCATTCACCCCAAACCTCTTCATTTTGTATTTGAGGAAACTGAGGCCCAGAAAAAGCAAGGGACCTGGCCAATGCCTCAGGGTCATTAACAGCTTCTAGGATTCTTTCCACCATCCTAGGCTGCCTCTGCATTGAAGAGATTCCGTTCTTGTTGGCAGGCATTTGTGGGTGCTCCTGTGTGCCTGGCACTGCACACAGTGTGTGCGCAGAAGGGACTGGGCACACAGAGTGGAAAGTGGGTTCTGCTTTCAAAGAGCTTATGTTCTGAAGGGGAAAATGGGGGTGCAGAGGAGCCAAGACCTACCACGCACAAAGTGCTGGAGCCGCTGGGGCCATCTGCAAAGGTTTGCTGGGGCTTAATTAGTGATGGATAGTAGTAATCATCGCTAGCATTTCTGTAGAGCTTTAATTTGCAAAATACTTTACAGATATCTCATTCAGTCCTCACCACCACCCTAAGTAGGTGCTTTTATTATTCCCATTTTGCTGATGAGGAAGCTGAGATTGACTGGAGTAAAGTGACTTGCCCAGGGTCATAGAGATTAGCAGTTATCTAGAGCAAGATTTGAACTCTGGTCTTTGGTCCAGTGTAGCCTAATGGAGAGGGCACTAGGATTGAAGTCAGAAAAACCTGGGTTCCAGTCCTGCCTCAGACACTTACCAAGTGATTTTGGGCAAATCACTTCCCCTCTCTCTGCCTCAGTTTCCTCATCAGTAAAAGGAAGGGGTTGGATCCTATGGCCTCTTGGCCCTCTTTCAGCTCTGGCAGTTGGGGATGAAGAGCCTGGGGACAGGGGGAGAGTCGGGGATGGGTCTGCTCAGTCCTGGAATCCCCCCAGATGCCTCCCCAGACGGCGTGCTGGGCCGCGTGCCTCGGAACGTGGTGGACGATGAGGAGTGCCGCCTGATCACCGATCACGATGTCTCCTCGGAGCTCCAGAGCCTGCGGCGGGTGGCCGAGAACGCCCACAAGCAGTACGTCCGTTCTCGGCCAGGGCCCTCCCCTGAGTCGATCAAGAGGGCCAAGGACCTGGACCCCGCTCTCCTGGGCCTGCATCCCCTCTTCAGTAAGGCCCCCTCGTGTTCCCTGGGGGAGAGGGCGCCCTAGGCTAGGCAGGACGGGCTCCGCTGATGGGCTTCCTGTCTGCCTGCCTCTAGGCTCCCAGTTTGAGGACGAGGAGCTGGAGAGGATGAAGCTTGTGGACAGCATCAGGAGCTACCGATCACGGGCTGTAAGTGCAGACGGCCCAGGCTGGCTGGGAGGGGCCTGCAGGCACAGGGGCCCCAGGGTGGCTGTAGACACAGAGCTGGGCTGCAGCTTGCTGCCGTCCAGACGTCGCAAGCCCTGAGCCATAGACGTTTTCTCTAAACTAAGTATTGAAAGATTAGCCATGAACATCAGAAGTGGCTCAGTAGCTCTTCACACTTTGGTTCATCTCAGTGCCTCGAGGGTCCCGCCGGCCCCTCCCTCCCAAGCTTCAGTCCCTTTGTCCTCCTCCTGTTTTTCATTTCAGGCTCATAAGCTCTTAGGCTTACAGCCAGAAGGGCTTTTAGAGGCCATGGAGTCCAACACTCATTGTACAAATGAGGAAGCAGGCGCAGAGAAATCCACTACCTGCCCGAGGTCACACAGCTGGTGATTTTTCCTTGACATTCGTTCATATGGTCCCTCTTGCCCCTGCCCAGGGAGCCTTTCCCAGTAATAAAGATTTTAAAAGACAATACCACCAGCAAAAGCAACAGACACACAGTGTGTGCAGCATGCTGCACCTGTAGGCCCCCACCTCCTCGGATTGTGAGCTAGAAGAGACCTCCAGGGCTAGCCGGGATACCTCCCTCCATTTTGAAGATGAGGAAACAGGCACAGAGCTTTAGTGAGTTGCCTAAGTCACACACCTTAAGAGTCGGAGGCAGGATTTGAACCTAGCTCCTTAGGACTCTAGGGCCATATGCCCTGTGCCATGCTTTCTCGACTCTTCTCAGGGACCAGACTTGATCTTTAAAATTCCTCGGTGTTTGCCTTCACTTTATTTGTATGTAGACGTGTTTTCATGATTCTTGTCCCTTTAGCAGCCTGGCATAGTGCCTGGAGAGCTGGCCTTGGCGTCAGCAAGCCTGGGTTCAAGTCACACCTCGGACACGTCCTGGCTTTGTGACCCTAGTCAAGCCCCTGAACCCCTCGGGCCCCCCCCCAGCAGCTCTCTAAGACCATAATCAGCATTGATTAAGCACCTACCGGGTGCCGGGCACCACGCTCAGTTACAAATGAGAAAAAGACCAGAGTGTTAACAATTGTAGCCATATGGAATCAATCACGGTGGCCTTCCTGGAGGAGACTGGTTTGAAGCAGCTACCGAAAGGTGGCTGCCGGCCCCATCCCCATCCTAGCCTAGGGATGAGGCAGGACAGAACTCAGGGGTTTCTGCTCTTCCTTGTCCCTAGACCATCTTTGAGATCAACACTACCACGCGGGACCCAGGCAGCCGGGTGATGCGGGCCAAGCGTAAACGAGACCACAAGGCCATTGCCAAGTTTCAGCAGGGACAGAGTGAGCGACGGCAGGCCCCGCCTGACCCAGCCACCCTCCCCCCGAAGGGCCAGGACCCAGAGGAAGAGGAGGAGGAGAGTGTGGAGGTACAGACCCACAGCCCGTGCTGGGGAGCTTGGGCGTCCAGAGCACCCAGGGTTGATGTCTGGTGTTATGTAAGGGGCACTGGGGAAGTGGGGGTCAGGATGGCTGGGGACAGAGCGAGCGACAGCAGGCCCCGCCTGGCCCAGCCCCCCGCCCCCCAAAGGGCCAGGATCCGGAGGAAGAGGAGGAGAGAGGGCTGGATTTGGACTTGGGAAGATCTGAGTTCAAATTCAACCTCAGACACTCACTAGCTGTGTGACCCTGGGCAAGTCATTTAACCTCTGGCTGCCTCAGTTTCCTCTTCTGTAAAATGGAGATAATAATAGCAGTTGCCTCCCAGGTTTGTTGTCTTACCTAATAAGACGACACGTCCAGTCCTTTGTAAACCTTAAACAATATGCAAATGCTGATTATTATCGTATTACCCTTATTAGGTCTGCCCAGAGAGGGAGAGAGAGCAGAATCATCCTTCAGAACGTAAATGTAGAATCCCAGAACATCAGACCAGAGGGGCCTTATGGTTGGAAATTGCCGAGCTGGGAGGGAAATGCAAAGGTCACAGCAAGTCAGTCAAATTTCACAAACGTGGACACAGGGCCCGCTGTGCACTGTGACCTTGTTGGGGGTGGCCCTCACACCTAGACTCTCCAGTCTGAGACAGTATGTTATAAAGTGGGAAGAAGAGGACAGAACTTGGTGTCAGAGGGTTCAAATCCTGCTTCTCCTCCTTGACTAGCTGACTGAACCCGTGTGAGGCCCTACAGGCTCCGTCGAATAAGGATGGCAGTCGCCATCACGGTTCCCTCTCCTCAGAGGTGTTAAGAGGGTTGGGTGAGATAAGGTGGAGCGCCTCAGCTAGAGGAACGTGGTAGAAAAGAGATGGGGTATGTGCACCAAAAAGAAGGGGGTTGTGAGAAGGAAGGCCATGAGGGCCATCGGAGGGCCTCCCATGGAGAACTGGAGGCCCCGGCCTCACCCTCAGCACCTGGAGGGCTGCATGGAAGAGAGGGCACCCAGGGGACCGGGAAGGATCAGTGTGACTTTGACAGGCAGAGACAGTGGGGACCGTGGTGTGCTTGGCCACATTAAGCGCTAAATTAATGCTGCATCTATCCATCATGCATGTATGTATGTATGTGCATCTGTCTGCCTGTCCATCTGTCTGTCCCACCATCTGTCTGTCTGTCTGTGTCTCTCCATCTACGTATCCATCCATCTGTGTACCATCTTTCTCTCTTTCCGTCCTTCTGTCTATCCTACCCTCTATCTCTCTCCCCCCATCCATCCACTGCTCTGTGTCCTGGGGACCAGTGGGCGTCCGGCTTGTCTGTGGGAGGTGAGGCCAGGCAGGAGGTCAGGGCTGACCTCACTGTGTCGCTGGTGAAGCTGAGGCCCAGAGCGGGGCCTAGTGCCCAGGCCTCCGTTCACACTTTCCGTGGCGTCCCAAGGCAGAGTCCTTTGGCAGACAGACCAGGAGCAGGGCTGACCCAGCAGCACTGGGTACGAGTTTCTAAAAGGGCAGAGTTAAGCCAAGGTAAGAACAAACATCCTGTGCCCAGGAGCCGATCAGCCAGTCAGTTTGGCTCCCTTCCTCCTTCCCAGGGGGCATTCTCAGAGGTGCTGGGCCGGAAGAGATGGCGGCCCGAGGCGCCGGGCCAGGAGAAGAGGCGGCAGGAGCCCCAGCGTCGGGACGAGGAGTTCTACGTGCCCTACCGGCCCAAGGACTTTGACAGCGAGCGGGGGTGAGGGGCACTGCCCAGGACAAGTGGGGGAGGAGCCAGATGGGGCCAGGGCCAGCGGAGGCATGCTGAACCTCGACTGCCCCTTCTCTCCCTTGCAGCCTGAGCATCAGTGGCGAGGGCAGCGCCTTCGAGCAGCAGGCATCCGGCGCCGTCCTTGACCTCATGGGCGATGAGGCCCACAACCTGACCAAGGGCCGGCAGCTGCTGAAGTGGTAAGGCCGGGCCAGGGGCTGAGGGGAGGGGCCGTGTCAGCCGCCAGCCCCGAGGTGCCCAGAGAACCTGCTCAGCGCTGCCTCCCCTCCCCCTTTGATGCCCCCAGGGACCGTAAGAAGAAGCGGTTCGTGGGGAATACGGGCCAGGAGGACAAGAAGAAGATAAAGACGGAGAGTGGCCGATATATCAGCAGCTCCTATAAGAGAGACCTGTATCCTTTCCTCTTGGAGGGGCATGGGGGTGGGGGCACTCGACGGCTGCCCTTCTGGGCCGGGGTCTCCAGGAGCTCTGTCTCCTTTCCAGCTCCCTCTTCCATGTGCTCCGGGCTGGGCCCCCCAGCTTGGGGGTGGGGCATGGCTGCCCAGAGGCTTCCCTCTGTGGCAGAGGGGGAAGAGGATTGGATCTGGGGCCAGAGTTCAAATCCTGACCCCACCACATCTTCCCTGGTGGTCTCAGTTTCCTCATCTGAAAAGTGAGAGGGGTTGGGCTGGCTGGTGCCTACAGTCCCTCCCGGCCCCAGGCCCCTGTCTCCATCCTGTGACCTCCCTAACCACCAATCTCAGGTATCAGAAGTGGAAGCAGAAACACAAGATTGGTGACCACGACTCGGAGGAGGAGGGAGAGGGAGAGGCCAAGAAGCCGAGGAATCAAGCCCGAGGCCGCAGGAGAGGGAGAGGTGAGGGGGCCCTGACCTGGGAGGGGGGGCCGGGGCGGGAGGTGACACCTGGAAGTGACCCGTGCGACCATCTTATGGGTAGGGAAACTGAGGCAAGGTAGGGAAGTGACTTCAATGACTGGTGTGTCCATCGACACCTCATCTTAGAGGTGGGGAAACTGAGGGAAAGTAGGGAATGACTTGCCAGTGTCACCCAGTAAGAATATCGGAGGGGGACAGCTAGGTGGTGCAGTGGATAGAGCTCTGGCCTTGGAGTCAGGAGGACCTGAGTTCAAATGCAGCCTCAGACACTTGACACTTACTAGCTGTGTGACCCTGAGCAAGTCACTTAACCCTGTTTGCCTCACCCAAAAACAAAACAAAAAAAAAAAGAAAATCAGAGGGCTGAGACTGGAGAGCTCAAGTCCAGCGCTGTCTGCCCTAGAAGATGCTGCTCTGCTTTGGCCTTGTGATTTATGGTCAGTGCCGGTGCCTCTGAGCCCCTGGGAACCTGCTGGTGTCCCAACCCCCACCCTCCCCCAGAATCAGTGTCCAGAGGGCCTTGGTGATGGCGCCTTGCAGACCGACTGGGCAGCTGGCAGCTGGCACACGTGAACGTGCTGCCCACTTACGTAGATGTTTTCCAGGAGCCCACTGTTGGCAGGACCCCAGAAGGCTCCCCTCACCAGTGGGCTTCCCGCTCCTGCTGGAACCCCTCCGGGGTGGGGAGCGCGCAATCTTATTCCTGCTGTTAGAACTTTATTATGATTTGGGGACTTGTGCTCAGACCTGTGGTGCAAGGGGCACCTCTGCCCGCCAGCCCAGGCACCTAGGAGCACGTCTGCCTACAGATAGACACACGGTGGCCCTCGCCCCTCTCTCCAGGGCTCCCTGCTGTGGACCAGGCCCTTCTGTCTTTGGTCCTTACATTGGGAGCGAAGGGTCTTGAGGGCACAGTAAGGCAGCCAAGCGTGGTGGTTAGAGCTCCAGACCTGGAGTCACCTTTTTACTCACTTTGACCCCTGACCCTCCGGCAAGTCATTTTTCCTTCCCAGCCTTAATTTTCACATCTGTAAAGTGGAGGTAACAATAACCTCTACACCCAGGGTTACTGTGAGGATAGGAGAGTTTTGCAGACCTTAAAGTGCCCCATGGGTGTCAGCGCTTATCACTGAGGTGTCCTCATGACCCCCCTCAAGTGTCTTAAGGCTAGGGAGGAGTAGAGCAAGGCTGTGGCCCTGGTCCTCATTCTACACAACAGCCATGTAGAAACACAGACCTTTATTCTGTCCTCATATGTGTGCATGTATGCATGTGTGTACATGTGTGCTGGGTTTCTGTCTCCCTCCTGACTATCCATTTCTTCCTTACTCCATGTCTGCTGCCTGTGTGTGGGTCCTCTTGTGAGACAGAGAGAGAGAGAGAAAGAGAGAGAGTGTGTGTGTGTGTGTGTGTGTCTGTCTGTCTGTCTGTCTGTCTGTGTGTGCGCATGTGCATCTTTGCTCCCAGGCTCCCCTTCTCTGCCTCCTCCTCCCTCTGTCTCTCTTGGCAGGTCCTCACACATGTACCCCGTTTCTGTGTGTCTCCCCCTTTCCGTGTTCCTTTGTTCCTTTGTGCGTGTCTCTCCATCTCCCCATGTTTCTCCATCTCTGCCTCTCTGGGCTCCTTTCGCACCCTTGCCTTTCGGTTTCTATTTTTAATTCCTAGCAGTGGCTTGTGGGGGGCTGCCTCTGGGGTGAGAGAGGGAGGTGTGATAGGAAGCCTCTTCCATGCTGGGGGTGGGGGCAGCTCTGGGAGGCTCCCATCCCCCAGTAGGCTCCTAGTCTTTAAGCTGACAGTGACCTGTCAGGTGTGTGAGCCTGGAGATGGGAATGCCAAGAGGGAGGCTGCTATCTGCACGTCCAGGGAACGGGCTTACCCCGGGGCTAGGGACCAGCTGCTCTCTCCATCCACCAGCGAAAACCTTCCCATTGAGATGGACTTGAAATGGCACCAGTAATGATTGGAGTTAGGCAGAAGGAAGGCGGGGAGATCCTGGAGAGGGTAGCTGAGGGGTCTAGGTGGGGATGCTCATCTGGGGTGCAACAGCAGCTGTTCTGGGCGGCCTGGCCTGTGTGCGAGATTCCCCAGGGACAGCTGGGAGCCAGGGTTCTGATCCTGAGGCTCTGGAGAGCCCTGCCTCTCTGTGCCTCAGATTCTTTAGCTAGTAGAACGCCATCCCACTGCCCAGCTTCTCGGAGGGCCTTGTGTCATAAGAGTCAGGAATACGGGGTTCATACCCTGCCTGAAACACCTGATAGCTGTGGTTGCCTTCTCTGGGCCCATTTGCTCATCTGTGAAATGGTGGTAGTAATAGCACCCACCTCATAGGATTGTTCAGAAGTTCAGTTACCATTGTTATTATCATAATGGTCTTTGATTCGTTCACCGGAGTTACCTCACCCCAGCAGGTCTCCATCCCTTTTTGAGATGTACTGTCCATTGTGGGATCGATGGACTCGTTGGGAGAAGGGTGGAGGGAGAAGAGGACTTTTGAGAACGAGGGATTGTATGGGGTACTCCTGGTTCCCTCTCCTAGGACCTTCCATTCAGCTCAGTCTGTGCTGAAATCTGTGCTATCCTGGGTGCTCTGAGGGACTCTAGGGTCACAGATTTAGAGCAGGAAGGCACCTTAAAGGGCATCTGGGCAACCCCCTCGTTTTACAGATGAGGAAACTGAGGCACAGAGTGCCTGGGCAAGTGACTTGCACAGGGTCACACAGCTAGTAAGTGTCTGAAGAATGATTAGAAGGCAGAAGATCTGTGTCCCCCTCCCCTCCCCCATCCCCTTCCTGCAGCCTCAGTACCCCAGGTAGAGAAGGGGCCAGATTGAGACGCTGGAAACAGCCCCAGACTTGGCATGAATGGCCCTGAGTTCAGGTTCCCAGCTCCGTTTTTCCCACCCTGGGACAGGGCAGACTCCTATATTCCTCAGGCCCTCCCGCTGACCCTCCCTCCCTCGTGTCCCATGCAGGGGTGTCAGCAGCCAGTGGAACGTCGGGGGCCCAGGGGTGCGTGCGCTCGGAGCTGAAGAGCAAGCAGCAGATTCTGAAGCAGCGCCGCCGTGCCGAGAAGCAGCGCTTCCTGCAGCGTGGAGGCCTCAAGCGGCTCTCTGCCCGCAACCGGCGCCGGGCCCAGGAGCTCCGGCAGAGCGCCTTCGGCCGGGGGCCTGGGGGCAACCGCAAGGGCAAGATGAGGAAGAAGATGTGATGTCTCCCCCCTCCGCCACCTCCTCGAGGATGAGGGATCCCTGTCCATCTAACCCCCCGCTGCCAGGGCTCCCGCCTGAGACCTGCGGTGGGGACAAGGCTGGCCCCTCAGGGCCCGGGCTGACTTTGGGCGCTGCCCTCTGGCTCCGAGGGAGTTAACATGCTCTGCTTCCCCTCCTCCCTCCCAAGAGGAGAAACCTGTTCTTCCAGGCCAGGCGCACCCCGGGCACTCTGGGCCAGCCTTGATCTCTTCACCACACCCCCAGAAGGGACTCCCAGAGATGGGCGGTGGGGCAGGGAGGCATTGCCGCCAGGCCTTACGCACAGCGAGTGCTCAATAAATCTTGAATCACGTTTGTTGAGTTGTGCTGAATGTGAAGGGGTTAATGGCATGGCTTTCTGACTGCGGGTTGCTCCTAGATACACATGAACATGTCCAGATGTACCGGGGCTCCTCACTGCTAGATACACACACGTGCTCAAGAAGATGCCTGGGTCCAGCCCTACCTCTTCTGTCAGCAGCTTCCCTCAGGGAACGGGCCTAGTGGTCAACAGCGGAGGGTCCAGGCCGTCCTTGGTGAGCTTGGCCAACGTAGCGGAAAGGTCCTGGAAGTGCTGCTGTACCTAGGAGCCCCCAGCCCCCCTGGAGTCAGCTAGCTGGCTTCTCAATTCCCCAGGAGGCATCGCACTGGGATGTGGTGGGGTCTGGTAAGCACCGTGCCAGGCTCGCAGTGTCAGAGCTAAGAGCCTTTCCCTGCCCCTCTTCACTAAAATGGTTTACTCAGAATTTCCCCCCTACTTATACTGTTTGTACAGTTAGCTTCTGTGTCCTCTTTTGTTGGCTTGTCTCTTCCATTGGACTGTGAGGAGAGGGGCTGTCCAATATGAAGAGTAAGTTACAGGCAGAGCCAGGTCCAGACCTCCCTCTTAGGCCAGGGTGTTTTTGCTTTTTTTTTTACCACTTTGCTGACCCGTACAGGGCTCAGCTCCATGATTTTGGCATTATTCACTGTGCTCTGACCACCTGAGCTAATGAGCCATCTACAGGTGGGGACACAGAGAATGAATGGGAGATAGGGTAGAGGGGCTTCCTAGAGCTTGGAAATTATGGCTCTGGGTGCATCTGGGGCTTTGGGCCCCCCTCACCTGCTCCAACTGCCCCTCCGTGTCCTCCACAGCCAATGCAGGGACCTCCTCCTTCTGCTTGCAGACCATCTGGAACAGGTTGAGAGCTGCCATCTTGATCTGCCCAAGAAGCAGGGTCTTCTGGGCTGCTGTGTTCTGGATGTGGACCCATCTTGACTCCTAGAGACACCCAAGGGAAGAAGAGCTCAGCTGCAGAGGGCCATGGCGGGCAAAACCCCTGTCCATCTTTATTGGCCCTAGCCCTCAATTTACATAACCCTGAACCCCAACTCACAAAGGTCCCCAACCCCCCACACACGTTAGCCTTCAACTTTTGGATCGTAGGCTGGAGGAAATCCCTGGAGACTAGTCAGCCTCCCCCCCGAAGCAGCTGAGAAGAGAAATATTAGCCCTCCCATCAGCGTCAGTAAGAATCAGTCCTTTAGCCGAAAGGGGAGACTTGGGGACAATATGGTTATTGTTGAAATAACAGACCCTGAGTCCTAGAGGACAAAACTAAAACCAGTGGGTGGAAGAGGAAGATGGATTTTAATCGAATATAAAGAATTTCCTGATGGGCCTTTTAACAATGGGATAAACTGCTTTAAAAGGTAGGAAGCTCCCCCCACCCATGGCTCCTTAGAAGGATGATGGAGAGATTCCTCATTACCATAGATTGGATTCAGAGGTATGCCAGAGCCGGCTTCAATGGGAAGGGAGAGCCGATTGTTAAATTGTCAGCTCAGAAATCAGCAAAGGCTACAAATCAGATCTCGATTCATTGTTTTATTGTCTAGACTTAAGAAAGTGACATAAAGAATGTTAGTGATGCCGATTGAACTTAAAAGTGTGCCCGGCATGCGGTTTTCCCACCTCAGAGAGTCGGTTGTTAAATATTCATCAGCACATGCCTTGTTGGGCAGGATGACTGTTAAGATTGTTTCCAAGCCCTAGATGACCTACTAACATATCAGTCAATCAACAAGCATTTATTAAGTGCCCGCTGTGTGCCAGGCACTGTGCTGGGCACTGAGGAGGGACAGACAGATGAGAGTGATTTTATGGGGAGATACCAGCAGCTGAGGGGATGAGGAAGGTCTCTTATGTAAAATGTAGAGTTTCAATTAGGTCTTGAAGGAAGCCAAGAGCTGAAGAAGCAGAGGTGAGGAGGGAGTGCTTTCCACGCCCGGTGCAGAGCCAATGCAAAGGTACAGAGGTGGGAGATAACAGTAGGAAACAGCTTGGTTGTTGCCTCCTCTGATAGAATATAAACTTGAGGGCAGAAACCTGTTGCCTTTCTGCCTTTGCATCCCTAGTGCCTTATGTAGGCACTTAATAAATGTTTATTGGATGGATTAATTGACCATAGTGTATATAAAGGGGAGTAACAGATCATAGGACAGGTTGGAGCCAGGTAGTGACTTGTGCTTTAAATGCCAAATGGAAGCTTTCATATTTGATCCCAGAGATAACATTGGAGATCACTGAACAGTGTGGTAAAAAGAACACTGGACTTGTAGTCAAGAGTCCTGAGTCTGAGTGACTGCTGTGAGTCCTAGTTTCTCTGACACCATGGCCAAGCTCACCACACTGTGCCTCAGTTTCCTTCTCTGTAAAATGAAGATGGTAAAGAACACTAGACTCGGCACCAGGAGACCAGATTGGGTGTTCCCTCTGAGCCCTGGTCACTGTGACCGTAGCCATCACGCTGCCTTTCAGTTTATTCACCTGTAAAACCGAGATAGTATCTGGCCTCCCTTTCTTCCTAGGGTTGCATTGAGCAAACCTGAAAGATGAGCTATTGTTTTTCCATGACTTCCCACCCCATTGGAGAGCAGAAGTAGCAAAGGGAAATGGTGCTTTGGAGAGCACGCTGGGCCCTGGTCCCAAGCCCACCTACCCATTGCAGGGCCTGAGTCCTGACATCCTCCAGCTGAAGCTGCAGGTCGGCCAGCTTGTTATTCTGATGAAGTATCTCATCGTTCTTTTCTTCCACCAGTTTGAGCAGCTCGGCCCTGGCATCCTCCACAGCCTTGTGCAAAGCCTGCTCCCGCTCAGCCAGGATGGCATGTGTTTCAGACAGCCCACTGAACCGGGCCATCAGCTCGGGGATCTCCTGAAACTGGGAGAGAAGGCAAGAGTGAATGGTAGCGATCGTACCAGTGACTCTAAGCTTATTTCCCCCAACAAACCTACAAAGTAATATTATTATCCCCATTTTACAGATCAGGCTCAGAGGAGTAATTTAACATGAGTTCTTAATCTGGGAGGTCTGTAACTGTATTTTAAAGTATTTGTATCACTACTTTTCAATGTAATTGGTTTCTTTTTCAGTCCTGTGTATTATATGGTATGCATCTAAAAACATTCTCCTTCTAGGTTTGGTGACTCAGCTCCCCCAGCTACTGAGGACGATCATCTGAGCTCAGGAATTCTGAATTGGGTGTCAGCAATAGAGCGAGCTCCCCTGGACTGTCTAAGGAGGGGAGAATGGGCCAGGCTGGAGACAGAGCAGGTCAAAGTTTCCTAGCAGATGAGCCCATGAGGGACTCTTCATTTCCAGGCGCGATAGTGATTTTGTTGTTCAGTCACTTCAGTCACGTCTGCTTCTCCATGACCCCATTTGGGGTTTTCTTATCAAAGATACTGGAGTAGTTTTCCATTTCCTTCTTCAACTCATTTTACAGATGAGGAAACGGAGACAAACCGGGTTAAGTGGCTTGCCCAGGGTCACACAGTTATTAAGTGTACGTAAGAGGCTGGATTTGAACTCAAGTCTTCCTAACTCAAGGTCCAACGGTCTCTACTGGACCACCTAGCTGCCCCCGAATAATAGGGAACCTCGTTTAAAAACCACAAAATAAATAAACATCTCATGCCAGACTAATCCTCTTTCCTTTTTCTGATAGGGTTACTTAACTAAGGGATCAGGGGAATGCTGTAGCTATTGTTTGCCTCAGTTTTGACAGACCATTTGATGAGGTAAATACTGCTGCCATGTTGGCCAATAGTGGGATTGGGCCAGTGAGTGGCCAAGGCACTTACAACCTCCAGAGATAGGGAGATCCAGTCTCAAGAGAAATACAAAACCAAGACAAAAACAAAACCCCATCATTCGTGCTTCCCCAGAGTGACACACACACACACACACACACGCACACGCATGCACACAGAGAGCAGTTACCCCTCCGCTCCCCCATTCGGAACCATTACAACAATCAAAAATGAGTTCTGTTGAGGTTAAAAGGACCAAGATTGACCACATTCAGTCTGTCGATTTCTCAAGTGCCTGCCACATTACAGGTGCTGAGCTAAGTGGTGAGGATGTAATGAAAGTAAAAGACAGATTCTGCCCTCAGGGAGTTCACAGTCTAGCAGGGAGAGGACATGCCAACAAGCTGTAGGCAGATAAATTGGAGATAATTCCCTCCACAGAGGGGAAGTGCTAGAATTAAGATGGGCTGGGAAAGGCTTCCTGTAGAATGTGGGAAGAGGTCGGGAAGTGAAGGTGAGAAGAGAGAAAGAGGGATGTGAGATTCTGCCCCACTCCCTTCTTTGCAGAGGTGGGGACCTATGGGTATAGAAAGCTGCATAGACTGCTAGACGTGGTTGATTTGCTAGTTAATTTTTCTGAATTGTCTTTTTCTCCTTTAAAATTTTCTGTTTAAAGGATGCTTGGGGGGGATATATTGGGAAATTAGGTGATATAAAACCAAAAGATAACAAATATTTTAAAAAAGAGAGAGGGCTTATTGCCAAGAATGCCTCTTTTTTTCTTCTTTCCCTTCTTCCCTTTCTTTTTCCCTTCCTTCCTTCCTTCCTTCCTTCCTTCCTTCCTTCCTTCCTTCCTTCCTTCCTTCCTTCCTTCCTTCCTTCCTTCCTTCCTTCCTTCCTTCCTTCCTTCCTTCCTTTTTCCTTCTTCCTTCCTCTCTTTCTTTCCTTCCTTCCTTTTTCTTCCTTTTCTTTCCTTTCCTTTCTTCCTTCATGCCTTCCTTTCTTTCTTTTTGATATCTAAAGCCTCTAGTGGGTAGGTCCCTAGAAGGGAGGGTATCTCTGGGGCTGCCTTGGCTCCAGCTGAACCCGAGTGCTCACCTCCTCTGACTGGGCCACCACCTGCTCCAGGTACCGGGCGAAGGGTCTGTATTTGTGCAGTCTTCGCTCCAGCTGCTCCTTTTTCTTAATGAGCCCCTCCAATTCCTTCTTCAGTGCCATGGCCTCAGCCTCCTTCTGGGCAGCGGTCTGCCTCCCTTCCTCTGCGCGGCGCAGGGACCGACTCTGCTTAGCCTCTGTGTCCTGGCAGGACGAGGACCCATCTTTCCAGACTGGACACCTCCCCTTGACCTCCCGGGTTGGACTTTGCCTGCCCTGCCCTCTTGTATACCGGGTTCGATATAGATATGCCTCCCTGGAGGTAGGGGCTACTGGGTGATGCCAGGGCACAGAGTCGGGCAGGAGGGGAGGAATCTTCAGAACTGGATGGAGGCGCCCACTAGGCCTAGCCTGGCTGGAAGTCTAGCCTGGGATTCTAAGCTGGCCATCCTCTGCTCTGTGGGACTTCCTCTGTGGATGCCTCAGGGAAATAGAGGGTCCACAGAGTCCCAGACAGCTTCCTAGGAGGCACGGCGCTCCTGCATCCCCACGGCCGCCCACCTTCAGGAACTTGTCAAAGCGGACCATGGATGCCTTCAGATCATCCTCCTTTTGGTCCAGGGCCTCCCTTCGCTGCTTCAGAGCTGACATCTTTATCTGGAACTCCTGAGGGTTGAGAAGGGAGAGGAAGATTCAGCTGGAACCTGGAGGTGGGCTCCACTGCTCCGATGCATGCACATGCGCGCGCGTGCGCACACACACACACACACACACACACACACACACACACATTCCTTCAGGTCATTGAGTGTTTACTGGGCTATGAGAAGAGAGGAAGTGAGCCAAAAGCTGGAAAAATTCTAGAATGTCAGAGCTCAAAAGAGCCATAGAACATGGAGTATAGGGTCTAGGCCAAATCTGAGAACAGGAAATGTCAGAAGCGGGAGGAATCTTAAAATATAGACTGATGGGGTGAATAAAACCTTAGAATGCATAATATCATATTTGGGACAGACCTTAGAACAGGGAATGTCAGGGCTGGGAAGGGCCTTAGAACAGGGAATGTCAGGGTTAGGAAAGACCTTAGAAAAGGGAATGTCAAAGCTGGGAACCTTAGTATAGGGAATGTCAAAGCTGGCGGGGGCCTCAGAACAGGGGATGTCAGGGCTGGGAGGGGCCTTAGAACAGGGGATGTCAGGGATGGGAGGGGCCTTAGAGAATATCTTATCCAACTCCCTGTTTTTACATATAAGAAACTCCAGCCAAGAGAAAGTAAAAATGCCCCAATCCACACATCACCCGGATTTAGTGGCCAGTCCGCGCTCCTTCCATTACAAAATCTCCCCCTGCCCACCAAGACCCTGGCACTCATCTGCACAACTACCCCAGAAGGACTCTCAGCTGCACCTGAGGGAGAACACAGGATGGAACTGCAGGAGCACCCCGCAGCACCCCAACATGTAGAGGCTGGCCAGCATCCCTGGAAGCCAGGGAGAGATACCAGGCTGGCAGCCCCATCTCTTCTCCCCTGCCTCCTCCCTTCTCTCCCCTTAGTACTTCGGACAAACAAGGTCACCTCCTTCTTGGCCTGCAGGGCCTCCTCCACCTCTACCATCTCCTGCTTCTTCTCTAGCAGTTGGGTAGCGTGGCTGATATAGTCATCCTCATGCGCCGGGGGCTTCCTGAGGGAAGAAGAAAGTGGATTGTGGCACTTTGAGGCAACTCCCTGGCTGCCCTGCCTGAGGCGCCAGGTGGAGATAGAAACCAAGATCCGGGTCCACTGAGAGGAGGCAAGAAGAATCACACGGATGGGTAAGGACCAGTCTTGCCCATAGACACAGTGGGTGGGTCCCTCCTTGGTCTGATGTAAGGAACCAGGGAAATCCCTCCTCAATATCTTCCCAATGCTACTACAGATTCCATTCCACCTCATCCAACCCCCAGGTGCCACGACCTAGCTATGGGACCTTGAACGAGCCTCAGTTTCTCTCTATGAAATGAGAAGGTTGGACTAGATGGTCTCTAAGGACCCGTCTAGTGCTAAACCTGTGGGGTCCTCTGATGTTCTGTGTTCTAAGATAAATCAGTCAATCAGGTATGTGCTGTGTCCTCCCTCTGTGCTGGGCCCTGGAGCTGCGGCCACGGTTCCTGTGCCCAAGGAGAGGCACCGACGGTGTAAGTGAGTGCAGATTAAATGTGAAGTGAAAGACTACAGTCACCCAAAGTAGACAGATACCAGGTGGAGCGTGTGGGGTGGGAGGGGCACAGCTGCCACTCTGACATCCTGAGTCAGAGTAATCCAATTTAATTCAGCAAGCTTCTCTTAAATGGCTGCTGCGGGCAGAGCACCGTGTGTGTGAGTTAGGGGGAGTGTCTCTGGCCTCAGGGAATTTCCAGTCTCCTGGGGGAAATGACATGTGCACAGACAAATGTGGATGAACCTTGGACTTGCAGATGGGAACACCTGAGTTCGAATGCTGCCTCAAACACATACTAGTTGTATCACCTTGAGGAAGTCACTGAATCTCCTTGTGACTCAGTTTCCTCATCTGTAAAATGAGAGGGTTGGATTTCACGGCTCCAAGGTCCCTCCCATCTCTGACATCCTCTGTCCTGAGACCCCTCCCAGCTCTGACATTGCCTGTTCTGAGTCCTTTTTCCATTCAGTTCAGAATTCTGTGTCCACAGGGCCCTCCTAGCTCTGATATTCTGTGTTCTAAGAGCACCGCCCCCCCAGCTCTTACATTCCATATTTCTATTTTTCTTCCCAAGGCGGTCCTTCCTGGCTATCACAGCCATTTCATCCTAATCTGTGAAGCCCCCTTCCAAAGGTGGGCAGAGATTAGAGGAAGGGGGGGAGGAGAGGGACCATAGGGTGTCAGGTATGGAAAACCATTGAATAACATGGGATAGGAAATCGCTGGGGTACAGATTTGGGATCGGAGAGAGCTCACCCCATAGATCTGGCAAAGCTTCACAGCCCCCCCCCCCACTCCCGCAGGAGTTGTTGGGTAGGCTGGCTCCTTCTGTGCACCCCTCTCCCCATCTCCTCCCTCCCCCACACCCCCATTGGCCAAAGCCAGGAGACAGCTCTTGGGAATGACTCTTCACTCCAGCCAGGGGCCACCACATCCTATGTAGGGGCTCTGCAGGGGGAAGTGGAGTCCACCTGACTGTGTCCCAGACCCCTCCGCTTCCCCACTCACTCTGCCAGCAGCTTTTCTTCCAAGACCATCTGGAAATATTCTTCCCAAGGCACTGACATGTTCCCTGTTTGCTCCTAGGACTCTGTAAAGCCTGGAGTTTTGTGAGTGCGTGCGCGCGCACACACACACACACACACACACACACACACACACACGCACACACACACACACACACCAGGCACCCTGGGGGGCTAAGGATTAGGACCTCACTGCATCCTCCCTATATGGAAATGGGAGCTCAGCCCCCACGCGGTTGCTAAGGCAACAGTCAGCACAACGTTCCGTTGCCTGGCACTCTGCTCTGGCTCTGCATTCCCTAGCTCTTTCTGCAAGGCACTGTTAGCAAGCTGCCAGCAAAGGCAGAGGACCCGATAATGTTTCTTAGGGGTGCGGCTGGAGGGATGGTGATGGAGGATAAGGGAGGGGACAGTATCTGCCCCTTCCTGGCTTGCTGTTACAGGGGAAGAGATCAGGAGATTCACAGAGTTTTAGGGGTCTCAGTCAGTCATAAGTGCTTACTGTATCTCATGCACTGTGCCAAGCCCCGGGGATACAAAGGAAGCCAGTAGTCCCTGCCCTCAAGGAGCGTGCATTCTAATGGGAGAGACAGCAGAAGAACGACTATATGCAAACACGTGAATACAGAATAGAGGGAAGGCTGTGTGAGAGGCCCAGGCATTGGCAGGGGGTCGACTAGGAAAGACTTCCTGCGACTAGGGGGATGTGAGTCGAGTACTGAAGGAAGCTGGAAAGATAAAGAGGCAAAGGCGAGGAGGGAGATGGAGTGGCTTTGTGTTATCCCTAAGTCAGTCAATGAATGGGCATTGCTGCATTGTACCATGCCTGGGGAGAGTAATGTGTGAGGTAAGAAGAGCTGGATGTCATAGGGGGCCACTGGAGCTCACTGAGCCGGGGGTAGAGGGTGGGGTGACATTTCACTTGACCATTGTCAGGTGTCTTTAAGGCGTGGCATCCCAAGGATGAGGAACCTTCGACCTCGAGGCCGTGTGTGGCCCTCTAGGTCCTCAAGTCCGGCCCTTTGACTGAATCCAAACTTTCACAGAAAAAATCCCCTTAATAAAATGATTTGTTCTGTCAAACTTGGACTCAGGCAAAACTTGGACCCGAGGACCTAGAATGCCACACTTGGCCCTAGGCCCAAGGTTCCTCAGCCCTGTGCTTGGACTGAAGGAAGGCTGGGGCTCTCCAGCCATCAGCGCCTTTCCTAGGCTGATGGGAAAGAGAGCCCTGGGAAAGCGGATTATGTTCCTTAGCCCCACCATCCGTCCCCACACTCATCCAGCCTTCTCAGTTCTTTTGTTGGATTATTGGACCCCCAAATCCCTTATATAGGGGTCCCTCCAAGACAGTCTATCTCTCCTTCTCTCCCTCTCTCCTTCCCTTCTTCCTCTTTCTCACCCTCTTCTTCCCCCCTCTCCCCACACATGTGTATAGGTATGTGTACATATGTGTGCCTAAATATATACGTGTATTATATATATATAACCAAGTATATATGTGTAGACATTACCAACTGCATGTGTTCTATAGGTGTGCACACACATGTATGTGCAAACATGTGTCTACACACGTGTGCACATGTGTGCAAGCCTTTAAATGTTTTGTGTGTATACATGTGTAATGTGTGCATTGCATGTATATATACACACACACACACACATACACACACACAGTAATGTCATCAGCTCCCAGGTGTTCAGATATCACCTCCAGGCTGATGAATCCCAAACCTAGACATCCCTTCTTCCTAACAGGGTCCTCTATGTCCAGTACGTCCTTTGTCTAGCTGTCAGAAGAGTCTTCCTCAAGCCCAGCCCTAGTCACGGCTCTCCTGTGCTCAAACATCTTTCAGGGCTCCCTACGAATCTAGGATAAAAATACTCCTTCCATTGGCAGCAAAGGCCTTCCAGAATCCAGTGTTCACAAACATCTCTATATTTATTGCATACCAGTTGTTATATTATATTATAGCCAAACTGGATGTCAAGTTGTAGAGGGCAGTTGGGTGGTATAGTGGATAGAGCACTGGCCTGGAGTCACAGAGACCTGAGTTCAAATCCAACCTCAAATACTAGCTGTAGGACCCTAAGCAAGTCACTTAACCTTTGTCTGCCTCAGTTTCCTCAACTGTAAAATGAGGATCATAGTAGCACCTACTGCCTAGGGATGACAATATTTGTGAATTGCTTAGCACTATGCCCGGCACATAGCAGGGACTTAATAAACCCTTGTTTCCTTGCGTTTCCCTTTCCCAGACTTGGCATTCCAGCTCCTGTTTCTGGGTATCCCCACAGCTCTTCCCCCATGTTTGATAGATACTATTTCCACCTCGAAGAATCTTTCCCATTCTTTGAGCCCAGGACAGTGCTGCTGCCTCTGTGAATGAGCTTGCCCACATAGATGTTTTTTTGTCATCCAATTATGTCTTTGTGACCCCTTTTGGGGTTTTCTTGGCAGAGATACTGGAGTGGTTTGCCATTTCCTTCTCCGGCTTGTTTTACAGGTGAGGAAACTGAGGCAAGCAGGGTGAAGTGACTTGCCCAGGGTCACACAGCTAGAAAGTGTCTGAGGCCAGATTTGAACTCAGGAAGACTCATCTTCCTGACTCCAGGCTGGCACTGCTGCCTGCCCCCCCCCCAATGGATCATAGGAAGATAGATTTTAATTACTCGCCTTTCTCTTTCACTTTAAGGTTCACACAAAACACTTAATGCCTGTTAACTCATTTTATCCTTACAATCACCATGGAAGGTAGCTGCTATTTATTATCCCCATTATACGATGAAGACACTGAGGCTGAACCAAGATTGTCCAGGGGTCGCTCAGGTACTAAGTGCCTAAGACAGATTTGAGCTTGGCTCTTCCTGACCGCACCACCTAGCTGCCTCTTTAGATTTAAAACTGAGAGGATGCCAGGGAGTACAACCCTCTCAGTTTACACATGAGTAAACTGAGGCAGAGGAAGTGACTTGCCCACATGGATCATACGCTTAGAAAGAGAAAGGACCTTGGATGCCTACCTCCTGAGATTACAGGTGTGGTTATTAAGTGGCAGGGACATGATTTGAACCCAGAGTTCTCTGCGTCCAAAGCAAGTACACCATGCTGCCTTTTCTAGGACCTGATTTGTCTAAGGTCCCACAGATAGGAAGTAGGAAAGCCTGGCCTTGAATCGTGGCCCCTGAATCCCAATGCTTGGTTTTGTCCCTTGTAAAATAAGACCTCTTGGGGGCAGCTAGGTGGCGCAACGGATAGAGCACCGGCCCTGCATTCAGGAGGACCTGAGTTCAAATCTGGCCTCAGGCACATAACACTTACTAGCTGTGTGACCCTGGGCAAGTCACTTAACCCCATTGCCTAACCAAAATTTAAAAAAAACCTCCAACAACAACAAAAAAAGACCTCTTTCCCCAAATAAGACCTATTCCCCATACTTGTCACAGGACAAGTAAAGGCTGAAAGTAAAAATTCAGAGAAGAAAGAGATCACTGTGTACTGTGGGAGGTGAGATGGGTCAAAAATCCTGGAAGTCTTCTTGGAGGAGGCGCCATCAAACACAGCTGTGGCTGTGCCCTGGTTTGTTGGGGGATTTTTTTGTTCTGTTTTGTTTTTTTAATCTTTCTTTGAAAGAAAAATATAGCCAGGGCCGTGGCTCCCTGCCCAGTCTTTCACTCAAAAATCACAAAGGGGGTTTTGTATTCCAGGAACAAAGGAGGCCAGCACCCTTGGCCAGCTCCTCCTTTTTCCCTCCCAGCTCCACTGTGGCCCCAGATGGTACCGTGACCACTTCACAGAAGGGGAGATTGAGTCCCTGGGACAGTGAAGGTTATGTGGTCTTCTGACGCAGCTGCAGGGCACCAAGGCTCTGGAGACCTCAGCAGCCTGGGACATGCTCAGGAAGGAGCAAGGGAGGAGAAAGAGCCTTGACCTTGGAGTCAGAGGCTCTGGGTTCAAATCCCACCTCAGACACTCAGTATGTGTAGGATCTTAGGCAGTGGGGCCAAACTGAAATAGAAACAGGTCACTAAGATATTTAAAAGGATGCCTTTCAGGGCCTCAAATTCACTTAGAAAACCACAAATTAACATGATCAGTGTTTTGTTGTATTTTTATTTTGTTAAATATTTCCCAATGATATTTTAATCTGGTTGGGCTGCACTTTTGAGCTTTGTGGCTGCCTGCAGCACATTCGACACCTCTAACCTGGGAAAGTCAATTAATGTCCATGGGACCCAGTTTCCTCAGCTGTAAAAGGTGAGGGGTGGACCAGATGACCTTTGAGGCTCCTTTTATCTCTGGTTCCATGAGGCCTTCTAGAATGCCATACCAGAAGAGAGTTTAGAACAGAGTGTTAGAACTGGGAGGGCACCTTAGAACAAAGGGAAACCGAGTCAAAGGAAGCAGGGGGCTTGGCTGAAGTCACAGAGCAAGTCAGTGAGCAGGCTTGGATTGGAAGCCAGCTCATTCCCCTGCACACAGCACACAGCCCCTCAGGGAGGGCCCTTGGCCAAGCACAGGGTGCTTGTCTTTGGCCTTTCCCAGGGGCCATGGAGTGGCCTAGTGCTAGAGGCCCAGAGGCAGTGGACCCCTACTCAGGGTCTAGAGAGAGTATCCCAGCCAGGAGCAGCCTAACCGGCTCTAAGGAAGTCATTATAGCTTGTGGCCCCTGGTGGTTATCTTTGTTCTGAAGTCAGTGTAAGGGGAGATAAGAAGCAGGTAAATTCTTGGGCTGGGCACTCACTCACACACCTGTCCTGGCTCTTGGCCAGCCCAGGTCACTTCTGTGGGAGCTGCAGGGTCAGGTCTCCGGTTTTCCAAAAATCATTTCATTGACTCAACACCATGCTGGGGAACTGTCCTGTCAATAATTAAGGGAGGACGTTCACCAAATAAAGACACCTCCCCCTACTCTGTGCACTGGGGGAAGGTAGGGGCTGATCTTTGAATCTGTTTTATTTGCTATGTGTGCCCGGAATTCCCTGGGTTCAGTAACCTGGAGCAGAAGTCAGCCAACCAGAGCCCTCCTCGCCCTGGGGCAAACACTGGCTCACGCTTTTGGCTTACACAATCCCTTTGAGGGACAGGAAGCTGCCAAGGCTGCATCTTAGGACCCACCATGGGCCCAGATCCATAGAAATCAAATATAAAACAGCCTAGGTTATGTACTTAGCAAGGGACTCAGTGATGATAGCTGACCTTTATCTAGTCCTTAAAGGTTTGT